AATTTTATACAATTTGCTACGGCACCTGCCACCTTGATTACATGCAGACATTCCATCCCACGCACTATAATCTGTTCTTTCAATGTTTATAAATAACTAGTGTTAAAAAATAGTAGCGCCTTAATATGCACACCATCTGTATCCTTCCATTTCATAATTTCAACATATTCTACAATTACGAATCGTCGTTTCGTAATCTTTAATTGTTTTACCGTCCACTCTCATTCTTTCATAATTAAATTCTTCTTACAGAGTAGAATACATTGTAAGTTCGCAAGATATAAATTAGTAATTCTGTTATATTTGTTATAATAGTAGGAAGAACCGTCGCCCTTATATCAGACTTGGCTATGAATAGTTTCTCTTTTTTTTCTTTTCTTGCAATTCTCAAATATAATTTACTCAAAATTGGCCTACTTATACCATCTGCGATCTGCGATTCGTGCACCCCACGAGTCGTGCACAAGCAACGAACGCCCGCCGCTCTCTCGCCGCTTTCACCGAGACTCGCTATTGAAATTAAACTTCACGCGTCGTGCCCCGAGAAACGTGTGAACGCGATTTACGGGATCGTCTTCCGACGCGAACCGTAAAACTGAATCTAAGGCAAGATTCGGCGAAGCGAGAGAGCGGCGGATGGATGTTCGCGGCAGGTGTACGATTCGCCGGATGAATCGCGGACACGAAGCGTAAAAGAAAAAAATGATAAAGTCTCGTGAAATTTTATTGGGCGATTGACAAGCCGACACAATCTCGCAAGACATAAGAAATACGATAATATGTTCACGAGTTTGTTTTTTTTATTTTTGCTTTATTTAAACTTTAAACCATTTCAATGAATTATATATAATAATTATCTTGCATTTACTTTTGTATCATAATTAGTAATTAATGTTTATCTTCATTATGTATAGCGGTCTCGACCGATTTGTCCATCTTATGTGACAACCTCCTCTTTCTTTTTTTTATTATCATTCACTTCTTGTTCTCCGAAGTTCTAGACTATCTTACATAACACCCGCGCACTGTTATCACTCCATTGTTTGTTTTTTTTTTCTTCTCTAATGTATACGACGTTTTCTTTCTTTAAAAAACTGCAATTTGATCTCACTTCGCGTGGTATTTTTTTTAACGAGGGAACGTATATTTAAGTCTTTTTAATAGACGATAGTGTATTCGATCACGATATCGTCAACAACGATCTTGGTTCACGCCAGTTGATACGTCTTCCACGCTGGAAGCGTCGTCGGCCTCTTGCAAACCGGTGAAGAATGATGTTAACGCCATCGTCGCGACACCGTGCCACTCACGTTGGGCCGGCTCGGGACTCTTTTTCCACGTTAAGAACGCGTCGCTTGAAATTATATTATAGTCCGACAAGTTCGTCATAATATTAAACAGAAGCCCTGTAATAAAGTTCATGTGTCACACGACGCGTAAACGGATAAACAAAAATTATTTAATCGCCCCTCTGAACTTACCGTGTGGATATTGTAAATTATGCAGATGAAGTTGAATCGCATAAAGGCATTGCAATTCTAAGGATTCGTTTGTATCGACGAATCGTCGTATCAATTGTTGTAAATTAGTGAAAACATCGTTTTTCAATTGGTGCTTGTTGTTGACTTCTAAGTACTCTGAAAACGACGACGACGACGACGACGATGAAAGAAATCACGACGAAAATCAGAATGGTCGAAGAATCTCGTCCCGGTAGGGAAATAAAATATCTACTTACCCATGGACGTCTCTAAAATGGCAGTCGTTAATACTCGAATGAATTCGGGTTCCTTGACTCGGTTACCCACATTTGCCTGATACAATTAAAGGATGGAAATATAAAATCCTCGACGCGAGGTCGATACGGTTTAGAAGAAGATACTCACGATTATCCAGTTACAAATCACATCGAAGTTACCACTGTCCTTCATCAGTATTCGAAGTTCGTCGTGGATTTGCTGGTACGTGATATAATCACCAGTGCAGAACTCCAAGTTCTGAAAATCCCACAAATGTACGATGTTAATAACAATCATCGTTGTTACACACAGATATAATCGCTTCGATAACTCACGTAATTCTTAATTATTTTGTCGACTTCCTCTCGTTCCGGATCGATCAAACTGTTCAACTGAAGTCCACTTTGGTCCCATTTGTCCGCGACCCACTTAGGTCCTTTGTCCCGGCATACTTTCGACAATAGTTCTCCAAGGAATATGCCTACGTATCCTTGACTTCTTAAACTATCAAATACAGGTTTCAATTCGTTCAGAGGCAGTACCTCTTGTTCTATTGGATGTGCTGCAAAAAAGAAAAAAAGACACAGCGATGAGTAACGTGTTTCCCGTCGACACGAGGGTGTAGAACTGTCGCGCACAGACAACCTCAGGCCTGTTGAGCAAAAAATTCCCGCACGGAAATTCTACGGTGAAGAATGATCATCATGTTTGGCTGCACACGACATAGAAAATACGATGTTTCGTGACAGTTTACTTACACAGTATCTCCGCCAAGTACAACCAGACTTTAGGTATATCGAGCAGAAGATCATCGATTATCTCCAATATTTCGACGAGTCTGAAAAATGTGATAACAATCATGATTAAGGTGGACAGGGCATGGTTTAAAAATTTTTATACAGAGACCCGAGATCAGCATCCTTTTGGCTTTAGTAATCGTAATTTCAACATCTGTTCTGTTCTGTATAAAGATTTTCATCACTCTCGACGTCGAGTCGATTCGTATGTCATTCAAACGATGAGAAACAAAGAGTGGAACTTACCCATTTCTCAGATGCGTTACAGACAAGATCTTCTGCATGATTAAATGCGACAGAAGATACGACACACGTTCTCTGTCAAGAGGCGTTTTCTCGAGAACGAAGTTGACCAATTCACGGATGAATTTGCTCAATGCGTTATCAAAGTTTTGTTGAATGGCCAACGAAACGGTCTGTAAAGAGGAAATTCTCATGAAACATGTATCGCTTTTAAGGATGTATTCTCTATACAAGTCAATCCAATCCCGTTTTACCAAGGTACATAATCTTTTGGGACTGACTGTATAGCCAATACATCCTTAAGCGTTCCTCTAAATTATTTGGTTTCTTCTGTCCTCTCGTTGATCGTGCAAACAGCGATATAAATAAATGTAACGTTAACGTTAATTCGTAACGCTGATCAAAAGGATCAAGAAGAAGGTATTGCATAATTTGGCACACCAATGACTCAAGCATCTCTTAGTAAATGGCAGAGATGGATCTAAGGAGCGTGCACAGATCGTCTGCTCGTCCGCAGAGTACATCCGATAAGTGGAAAAGATGTATCGACTTACTTCGAGTATAGGATTCTTCAGATATTCTTTTATTATTTTGTGCAACGTTTTGTCAAACTCTTCATCTGTCATCGGAGGTTTATGACTACTAGAGGTAGATTGCGAAGATTTCAACGGTGGCGGTGGCATAGAGACGCCTTGACTTTGTGAACTATCTAACAACGAGCTCTCTCTACTTGACGACGAGCTGCTCAATTGATGACTACCATTACGTGAACTCCTACCATCTGTAACAATTCGAACAATTCGGAATTAGCTTACGTTCGAACGACACTAGCCGGTGAAAGAAACGATATTACTCGCGCCGTATCAGAATCCTTTTGGCAAACAACACTAAGTTTCACTTTTCAAAAATGATATATCGATCATCACGAATCGTCGCTTAATCGTTATAATTAATTAATTCATTTATTTGAAATGACGGAGGACGTACCATAGGAAGGTTTGTAGTCACGACCGTATTCTCTTGGACCGGTAGATCTCGATCTGAAATGAGAACATCAACAATGGTTAAAATTCTAATCGATTCTCAGCGTATCGAATGCACCATCGTTACGAGATTCAGAACGCTATTGAAGTCACATATCAAATCAGAAACTCTAGCCTAGCAAAATAATATTTCATCACTCTTTCGTTTCGTCGTGCACATCACGCGAAACAGAGTACGATATACTTCCGACAGACTTACCCGGAGAGTTGCGGTGACGTGATTCGTTTATCTTGGTCTAAAGTCGATATATTCTCTAATTGTAAGCATGCAAATTTATTTGAATTTATCGCTTTCGAGCCGCAGTTCTGAGGCACCTTCCACATGTACATATTTCTGCTTCCTAACTGTAGATCGTCCATCGGAGGCTAAAAGGTGAGGTAAGAGACTTGGTGAGTGTTCTTTAGAGATGTCGCCGAATCGTCGTCGTCAAAGAGGAATTACTTACAGGTTTATTTTTAAGTTTGGCCGTCTCGATAGAATATTGTGGCCTCGTTCTGACGACAGGTTGACTCCAACCACCGTCGTCCGTTGGACCAGTACCACCTATCAGACACAGATAGTACATTTACTAATACTACACAATTGAAAACTACGGAAGTACATTTACAGTGATACTACGGCGAAAGAAAAATTATCAGAATACGCTGTACAATCACTTCTGTCAGAAACTCTAGTCTGGCAAAAAAAATTGGTATCATCATGTCCATAAGTCGAAGAAGAAGCGTATTGTTGGTTAAATATTTATTTACGATATTACTTACGATTCCTTTTTCTATCACTGGCACGTTCGTCTTTCCTCGGTGTATTCAACGGAGTATTACTCAATTGGTTGTCTAGTCTTTCCGACTCCGCTTCCTTCTGAATTTGGTCTATAGTCTTAGGATTGCTGTCGTCTCTCCTCGGTATCCATTTGTTTGCTCTTAAATCTATGACATCTTGCAGCATGAAACGAATTCTGGAACTGATCTTCCCTTGATTTCGTCGCGCAACGATATCTTGCATTTTATTGAAGTAGTCTTGCATCTGAGAAATCCAACAGTTCAGTATAAAGTCTGACGTCCTCCGTGTATCGTTGAATACGAAACGAACTTACATCTTGAGGTCCCGCTTTCGCTTCTAAGTCTCTCCCAACCGTTGTCAACAATTTACATAAACATTCGAGATTATCTTCGTCGCTCTGGTTCAACAGGTCTGTCATGCAGCGATGCATGATATTAGTGGTTAACATTCCCTGTCTGAATAGCTCGCCGATAAATCTGTAAAGTAACAGAAACAAACAATGACAGACCGATACGACGTCGAGCGCGTAGGTCTCCTTCTCATTACGTACCGTATATTTCCTACTGATTTTATACGCGTTTTGCGTTCTTCTTCTTCCAGCTGTATTTGCAAGTCTTTTTTCTTCTCCTATTACAAACAGTGATATAAATTCCATTAGAAACGTTAGCATTGTAATTACAAACGAAATATTTTTAATGCGAACAAGTCTATCAGTTGTCAACTCACAGGATCGGTACACTCCTCGATCTCTTTAAGCTTCCTCGTCCTCGCCACTTCGTTAACTGGATTTTTCTCGAATTCTTTTTGGCAACGAGTAATAATAAGTTTTTTGAAACTGAACGAGCTCTCTTTCTCCACGTTCTGATCATTTCCCGGGACTTGCATCATCGCAAGCTCTTTGCACATTAACGCATATGCCACAGAGAAGCTCGGTTCGTCGACAGCCTGTGTATCGAACACAATTAATTTCATTGATGAATAAGCGCGCGCAGTTCATAAAAGCACCGGATAGACGTACCTTCTCGAAAACTAAATTGATAACACCCTGCAGCCTTTCCCGAGTATCGATGTTCAACGCGCGCACTTGGTCGATCAAGGTGTTGAATTTCTGCGGAGTGAGTTTATTTAATACGCTTCTAACTTTTTTGTAAAGAGCTTCCGTCTTCGCATCCTCCTCTGGCATGTTCGCGTTCTTCAATCTCGTCGGCCTCCACGCATTCTCAGTTTCTCTCAGCTTCACGTCTTCTCTCAGCGATAACGATACATGAATTACATTTGGTTTCACTGGCTTCGACGACTTGCCCGGGTGACTCTTACGATTCGGCGGCGGCTGAACAAGTGCGAACACGTTGTAAAATTAATTATTACTCAAACGCTTACGAATGCCTACACAAGATCAAACGGAAAATCAGGAGCATAGTTATCTGTCAAAGACATTCAGTCCACTACTTTCATTTTTTTTAATACATCATTTTTGCCTTTCTAGTCGCTCGAACGGTGGTTCATCCATCTCGATTCCTTACTACTTACCATTCGCGCGTTCATAGATGGCTTCACGAATCCAGGGAACATAAGATCGTGTCTCATGTTCGAATCCTTGAACGCTCTAAGGTCGTTACTGGTCCTCGTCGACTGAAAGAACGTTTACGGTTAAACGGTGTTAACGGTGACGACGGTAACAAAGACGAGTAGCAGTAGTTTCCGTACCCATACCTTCGAGCTGTCCTTCAACACGACGTCTAAGTCTGGTAAATTAGTCGGTTTGATCTTGCTGTTGGGATCGTTCTGAAGTTTTATTAAGAAGTCGCGGTCGTAAACCTTTTTACCGCTCTTATTGATAGGACTCCATTGGTCATCTTTGTATTTATATTTAAGCTGTATTTGATTGGCCGTGGCCGGTGCCGGCTCGACCGGTGCGGCGATCGGTTCGGTTTCAGCCGACTTTTCGATAACCGGAATCGCCTGCTGTTTCTCCTCGTTCGGTGCTGATATCGCGGAAACTTTCGAGTTCTCCTCGTTCTTCTGCGCGACTATCGTTTGAACGTCCGCCTCTTCTTTCACTTTCGCATGATCAACAACGTCGTTAGGAACTGATTTCGTTTGCGTATTACTACATACATTCGACTTCTTACTATCCTCTATCTTAGGTGAAGATTCTTTTATAGTTTCCTTGTTGCTTGGCAGTTTTTCTGCAGCGGGTGCTTGCACGGGAGCAGTTTCCTTAGGGATTTCTGGCGTCGTCACCGGAGATGCCTGTTTCTCCGTTTTCGCGTGACCGGAGGTAGCCTCCTTTTCTTTCTTCGACTCGTAATTCTCTTTTTCCTTCAGATCCTTCGTAATCTCACGATTTGTGTCTTTATTGCTGTCCTTCGGCGGCAAAACCTCTTTACCGTCCTGCTTTACCTCGGGTTTTCCCGAAGGTGTCGTGTGTACGAAAGCGTCCATGTCCGTGCCTTCCTTCTCTGCTCCCTTTCGGTTCAGTTCGCGGGGTTTCAGCTTACTCTTGTTCTTCTGCTTCTGCGTAGGTTTACCTGTCGAATAATCGCAACACAGACGCGAAAATATAGTGTGACACGATAGGAACGGAGGGGGGTTTAACGATAGAATAGTTTCCTCTCGACAGCAGTCGGTCTCGTAATAATTGTATTTAATGTTTATACGTGTAGTTCATGAATCGTGAGACATTCATACAGAACTATTATTACGTTGATATCGCTACAGAGAGAGGTTCGAGCCGTGAAGAAAAGTCTGGTTCGGCTGCAAGCCAAGGATAATTATAGTCTCGGATCACAGTACATTTCGTACCGTGACATTTCTCTTTTTCTCATTAATACGTATACAAGTTTCCAATTCTTGAACCCGCGGAAATTAAAGAGCCGCGTTAATGGACATCGCCCGAAACGTATCGTTACAGAAAAGGAAGGAAGAATGGTTCTTTTCTTTGGCCAGTAGGACGCCGAAAATACTCGCATAAAACCAACGCGTTTCGAACGCATACACGCGAGGAATAAATACGTGTAATTCGAATAAATAATGTAATGACGATGGCCGATTTAATGATGCAGAAAATTGCATTATGTAAGATTTTCTAACGTACTTCCTTCCGGAAACGTCCAAGTCTAGAATAGCCCGAGTTTCACGTCGTTCGATTAGAACGAAACGTAAAGAATAGAACTTTTTAGTCGTACCGTCGTTAGTGACGATTGACCGATGGATCGAGAGTAGAACACGAAGCAGCTGAACGATATCTATCGGATACGTGAGTAACGTTCGAGGGCAAGCTGCGGGGGGCTAACTCTTTAACATGCGTTATCCAGAATTCGCGTAAGCAATGGCGAACGGTTTGAACGGATGTAACAGTAGAATATATACCATGATCCCTGGAGCCCCGACGATTGCGACTTCTTGATCGGGAGCTACTGCTGACATGGGCAGTACCATTGACTTTGCGGTCACCCATTTTCACATTTGGTTATCGATGAAACGTGCACGCGCTGCTATTCAAGCATGTTCTAGCCACGGTGTGCTGCTGCCCGTCCGTTCGTTTCGCATCGAAGACATATCGCACGGTTACAAGTCACATTTTCTCGCGACACAAAACTCTTTGTGCGGCTCGAGTTTCAGCGGGCAGCGTATGCCACTGCTGCTGCTGCTGCTGCTGCTGGTACTACACTGAATCAGTATTTATTTATAAATCTGCCAAAAGCTTGCCAAACCTAGGGCAGACCGATTCGTATTCACACGCGCAACAATGTGCAACCACGATATACGCATTCTAAACCCTTTTTTTCCCTTCCTCTCGACGATAACGAGGGGGTCGAAAGAGAGCAACGACAGAAGCTGGAGAACACGGTCTGACACACTACGAGAGGATTCCGAAGAACGAGCACGAGCCACGACGATATCGGAGGCAAAAGGATGGACGAGAGAACGATTTCTCCAGTTCGATTGGAACGATGAAGGTGACAAACGCTTCCTTGCTCCTTCGAGACTCTCCTTACACGACTTTTACGCGTCTATTTTAACCTGTGAACTGGTACAAACTAACAAGCACGATATGGGATTTCTTAAATTAGTTCTGTTCGCCGGTTTAGCGCCGGAGCACGCGCAGTGCCGACTTTCTTGATAGCCCACAACTTGGCCTCTGAACATCTTTACTCGGAATGCATCGACGGTTAGAAGAATTTGTACATCCCCCCGTTCTAAATCGACGATCATACTCTGTTCGGTCAGCCCGACAGGGAGGCTCGTCGTTGTGGACACAGGTGAAACCGAATGTGAAAGAGAATGTTGTTATCTCTGTTTTCAAGTTCGTATCTGAGGTTTTTAAAATATCGATCGTGCGACGTCAAAAATAGAAGGCAACGGGCAATAGCGGAGTGGCAAGATACGAGGAGAACAAAGAATTCTCACGCTAACGTCTAAATATTGTAGTGGAACTTCTAAAACGGATTAATTGCCAGTCGGCAGTTAATTCGATGCATGAAAGTGGTCTGAGTAAGATCTCATAAAAGGAGGTCGAGGTAAAAATTTAAGGAGAATACTGAACGGTACGTCGTTAAGGATACGTGCGATCGTCGATCGCTTTCAACCGATTGAAATTAACGTATCAACGAACCTTCGTCGAACTAAAATCCGAATAAAACCGACGCAGCGAGCGTGTCTAAACGGAATACGGAAAGTTCCCTCATCGGACAGCGAGATCTCGTTCGATTTATCAGCCTTCGCCGAGATATACAATCGTATGGAAAATGTATATAGCTCATTCGGTGATTTTTCTAGTCAATGAGAACCTTTCACCCGATTGGTGAGCGCTCAAGGTTGTCACTGACGCCGAAAGTCTTGAGATACCGTATTTTTTCCACACGCACGACGCGTGCTCTTGTGAAACGGCGCTTAAAAGACAGCCGAACCGTGCACTCGGTTCTCACCGTATGTACTGTACGGCCGTGACCTCCCCAAGAATTTCAATGACACTCCCCTCCGACACAAATATGTTCCATATCGCATCGAACACGTCTGTTTTCCAGAATCTAACATCGGGAATTGCAACGGTCTGTGAAGAATAGAACCGTGGACAAATAAAGAAATGCTGACACACCCATTATACGTGTACTACTCCTACGTTCTATGCTTAATTCCGGCCGGCCGAACGTATCGTTCCCTTCTCTCTCTCTGTCTCTCTATCTCCTCTCTCGAGCAATTTATACAATAATTCTTTCTACGACTGGTACCTACTGTGTAAACTAAATTCGAATTAATGTACGAATACACGATCACGTATTTCATCGGAAGAAACAACGTAATCCGTTTAATTAATTCTTGTCGAACGTTGCTCATACAAAACGATTCGATCGAGAATAAACGAACGTTTGATACGACCGGGGTCTCGGCAGCCTACAAGCTTTAGTTATCTCACACAGGAACTAATGATCAAATATGGTGTAGCTTTCTTTTCTGACCGCTCACAAAATGGCTACAGATTTGTACGTGCGGGAGAGAAGCAAAATTACGACAAACGACGATGTTCTATCCATCGATGGTTGTTCAATATAAATATTCCACGAGACACCACGGTGGAAACACTTAGAAGGTACAAGAGACTTGTTAGCGTAAAGTAACAAACGTGGCCGTTAAACTGTCTCAAATACACGTGCTCGAAGCATGGTAGACGAATGAAATTTGGTTAAAAATGCTATTGACCGTTGCGTATGACGATAATCAAATATTTTAGTTGAATTCGCTAAGCTGGAACGATCGCGGTGTATAACGACAACGAGATGTATTAATTACAGCTTTCATATATTCCTGTTGATTCTCCCGATCTTTTCTGATCGAGCCTGGGTTCGAAAAACTTGTTTCGGTGAATGCCTGGCGCGCTGAGAAGTAGCCATATTTGAGCACGAGTCGTCGTTCGATCTTCGAAATTCGACTTTCCCGGTTCAGTCAAACGATATCTTTCTGTAACGAATAAAAAACTGCTCGAGAGAAAGATTCGGGAGACCTGAATCGCGCATTTACTCAATTTATCAAGCGGACGGTGGCTCTGCGACGAAGCTCGTGTTCGGGAAAGCCGTAGAACACAAAATGTCGGAACCACGTTGCGGAAAGCGAGTATCTTTCAGCTCGTACCCCCGCGCGTTAAGACCAGATCTTTTCGAGGCAACTGGATACAATTTATACATACATGTTTAATCGAGACAATCTCCTGTCGTCGTCGTTGCATCCGCGTGCGATCACTTTTTTCACAGTAACAATAATTTTCAACAGATATAGAGTAAAATAAAAAGTAGAGATTCGGTAAAACCTTCGTCGCTGGTTCACGTAAAACCTTATAGTCCAGTGCGACCCGTATCTTCCAATGGAAAACGAACGATGCGTGTAAAGGGCGCAGAGCGTTATGTATAATTAAAATAAAATGTAATAATATGTACAAATTCTACGGAATACCGTGTGATTAAAAACACTTTGTAGGAACGGACTGTGGTAAAATGCGATTATGGGTAAGCGTATTCGTTACGTTTAAATGAGTAGAAATTGAAATACGAGTATCTTTCAAACTAATACGTAGATTCGACGAGCTTGTGCTCATCTACGAGTATATAAATATATATATATGTATAAAAAAAAATGATAAAAGGAAAAGGGAGAAAGCGGGGAAAGCGGAATAAAAATTACACCCGGCTAGCACAGCACGTGCTGGCTACTGGAGTAAAACCGTTGTTCGATGAGAGAAGATGCCGGGAACCTCCCTCCAGCGACGAATTCGACTATGCTCGCGTATACTCGGTCCGTTTCGTGTCTTTTCGTCCGGTGATGATGTCACCGTTGGCACACGAAGCTCCTTTCGGAGAGTTCCATGCCTCGCGTTTCAATCACGGAGGAAAAGACCCGTCCGCATGAAAAATGCATGCACCCGAGTAGATAAACGACGTTCTATCACGTCCGAATCTGCTTCAGTTAGTTATTAGTAATGTAGTAAAACGGCGACATTGTTCGACTCGCGATACGTATAAATTAACTCGAAATCTTCGAAATTACACTCAGCCATCGTGACCGACAGGCTTCCAAGTTAACGCGACCAACTACAGGGAAAAAGTACAAATCTCGACATGACGAGCTCTGCGTTTAGGAATGCCAGATTTCAAGGATGTTCAAACGATGTTTGCTCGACTAAAGCCTATCTATGCGAAACATCAAAGACTTACCCTTCTTTTTATTCCCCATTTTGTAAAACTTCTCTCAGATGTAATCGATACGAACCGATGACACTGCTAACTGCTTGCGATATGATTCTAATATTAATTAACGTTTCACGGTAGAATCACTACACTCTCTATCTCTATCTCTCTCTCTCTCTCTCCCGTCACTAACACTTTCGTTTATGAACAAATGCAATCTGTCGAACGTTAACGGTGAGACAGAAGCATGTCGAGTTACAAATTTAATATCCATGTGTACATTTTAAGAGGCACCTCGTCACAAACTCGGATGATGCTTCCCGATGTTGATAACTCAGATCCTTTTAGAAAGGTATCGTCGGATTCAACGGAGAAACGGTTAGTTAGCTAGCTTCGAAAACGTGGGTCGATAAAAATATCTCGTAAACACTTTGCACGATTCAACGTGCGGGATGAAAATGAAAACGAAACTCACGAATTCGATATTGTTCGAAAAGAACCTACGTCACGAGTGCGAGGTTTCACGGATACGGAACGACTATGGAGGGCAGGTTGTAGGTTAGACTGAAAATAAATCGGATTGCAACGCGGAACACTGCGGAAATATGCGACGATTCTCGTCGTCGATAATGTTTCGAAGGGAAACAAACTACGCGATGCTTTGTCCACCGATATTTTTGATTCCACAGGAACACTATCCCGAACTATTAAAATCTATTTGCACGTGGATCACTTGCCGATGGATGCGACTCCCTTTACACGGTAGTATACACGTGACTATATAAAGGCACCTTGTGCGGCACGGTTTGAACACATGCTATAGATCGTGATTTCAAACTCCGCGGGAAATAACAGAAACACGTACAAAAAAAGTATGCATTAATTACTTCGATTCGACCGTGGTCACAATTATTTAAATGTAAATATTGCGAACAACGGTGGTAGTTCGAAAGTTCACGTTATAACGACAGGACGAGAGAGGAAGTTGCCGGGGTAGTCGAGATCCTTTGTTCTTGTAACTCCTGTACGATATTCGAAAATTCAACAATGATTAATTTGTAACAATCCAGTGTCATCGACGGTATTATCGACGTATCGAGATCGTTTCTTGAAAACATGTGAATATTCGTAAGAGTCTTAAAAGATAGTAACGATTATGAGGATGCTACACCCCTACCACTTCGTATCGATTTAAAAGGTATACGGTGATAGAAGCCGAAATACGTTCGCTAACCGTTCGAGCAGATTACGTCTTTTAGTCTGCATATTCATCACTCGCGGTGGTATTGATAAAACATGATCTGTGAATTCCAGCTCGGACGTTACCCGTACGTTGCCAGAAAATTCGCGAATTCGCTCAACGAGGGAACCGAACGATCGACTGCGTCAAGTGAAACATGGGAGGAGACGATGTTGTATACCGAATAGAAACTCACCGTCGGACGACTTTTGCTGCTGCTGCTGCTGCTGCACTTCGGTCCGGGGAGGTTCAGGCTCCTGCTTCTCGGCGTTCACATCTCCATTGGCTTTGAAGTGATGATGATCCGCCGTTTGGTTGTGAGCAGGTGTGGGAGTGGTGCCCCTAGAACTAAGACTCTTTTCCCTCGTTTTTTTTTCTTTCTGCTCTTTGGCACTCGGAGGCAGCTCGGTCGTAGCGGGTGGAGTTGTCGTGACCGTGGCCGTAGCAGCAGCGACGGGAGGAGCAGCGGCAGCAGGCTGATTATGGGCGTGAGTCTGAGATTTTCTTCTAGGCGGTGAGCTCGATGAATTTTTACTGGACAAATTAGGGAACGGTTCTCTGGCAGGAACAGGGTTAGCACTTGGGGCAGTGGCGGACGGTTTAGGGACCTCCGGAACGTTCGTACTGGGCGTCGAAACAACGGGAACAGGCATCTGTGTTACGGCAGGCGTGGTGCTGATGCCTTTCATCGGATCGACTTCGGGTACGACAGTCACCGTGGATAGCTGCGCAGAAATATCATCCTTGTTTACGTTACGCGCTGGAGCTGGCAACGGTGCTGGTTCCTCAACGACCACGCTTTTCGTTTCGCTGCGTGGCTGAAATTCCTTTACAGGAATTTGCAGTGGTTTAGACTCTGTTTTCACTGTACAAGAGTCTGTTGTTTGAGCCGCGTTACTAGCCACGGTACTACCTAACGATTGACTACACAACGCAGTTACATTAGGTAGATTCTGCGTTGCTGACGAACCGCTGTTACACTGATTGTTACTCGCATCGTTAGTAGAATTTGTCTGCGAGTGGGACAAACTTTGTGTCACGTTTTGTGTCGTCGACGTGGTGTTCTGTACGCATGTCGTTACTACCGTGGAGTCAGAACCAGACTCATCGGTCGTGTTTTTCACAAGCGTTTTTGCAACCCGAGCTGCAAAGTCGGCTTGCACCTCGGCATTGTTGTTCTGTAACAATCACCAATTCTGCGTGATAGACGATGATACATAGCAATCGGACGAAGATTATGCTTGACAACTAAAAACTGGCTCCAAACTCAAATCATAGGACGAGAAATAAAACTAAATGTACTAAGTGAAATAAAAGAAACATTCAATATATTTTATACCTCTGTTACCCCTCAGCCATGGTTCGCAAACTATAAGCAAAATGTATGTAAGTAATATATGTACGTAACAATATACTTAGTCCACACACCAATCAATTAAACCGTTCACTTTTACGATCGACTATCAAACTACATCGTTCACTCGGCGCGAATCAGATTTTCTTTCGTACACGCTAAGAACGTTTCTTCGAATTGTTAACAACGATCATCATGGCTTCTGGGTACAGATCAATGCGAACAATTGACTACACGAGAATACAGAGAGAGTACGCATTTATCGTTTGAGTGTTTCATTTGATTTCTGAACTAGAGAGGCTTTGAGAATGGAATGTGATCGGAAATGTATGTCCCTTACAATTAGTATTACGACTCCCATAGTCAATTGTTAATGTGTAAACGTTCAAAGATTACTCACTTGTGGCTGAGGTGTTTCACGATTACTAGATTCACCGCTTTGGATAGTTTCATTATAATTGTAAATTTCGTGACTTATATTTTTACCGGTCGACGGATCTACGATGTCGGTAATAGCATTCTGTCCTCTTGGTTTCCGAGATTTTGTCGTACTATTTGTCGTATTTGTTGCACCACCATTATGGCCTGAGTACACATCTTGAAACACAAAATATAAGATTCATGTTATATATAAAAAACATAACTAACCATTGCCACCATGTCTAAGACTCTTATACAACGCTGTGCTACGTTCGTTTTCTGTACATGACAAACACGATCTGCCAGATTTAAGACTCACCGCCATACATTCCGTACACGTTATTCACGACGTACATTATGTACAAATCACGAAGTACGATACGACTTTAGCGAGAGGTCTGTTCGGATGGACGGTAACGAAAGGTCTGTTCTGATGGACAATAGCGAGAGATCTGCGTCGAGATCTGTTCCTTCGCAAGGGGTCGGCTCAAGAATGACGAAAGTAGTCAGCAAATACCCTCGGATGCCCAGGCTACGACTCTACCTGAACTCCTACCCTACCCTACCCTACCCTAACTTAATCGTTCACGTACCGTTACAACGGCTTAAACAATTGTAGAAGGTTTCGAGACAAAGCTCCGTACTGGTCTTTGAAGTAATAAATCACGTTCCCTTCGGTTTTCAAGTTTGCTCTAGCGGTAATTTGGTGATTTATAGTGCTTACTTAGTCCCGAAAATTTAGGCATAGACAACAAGAGCGTTTATTTGTTCGAGTCCAATATTCTGTACCGGGCCTTGTCGAGATCGGTTGACAAAGAATCGAAACAGATAGTTCGTATTCTGAGACACGCGCTATTCGCGTTTCATTAAAAGCGAATAATACTCACCACTCTGAGAAAGAGATATACCCATGGGGGGTAAAGGTTGAGCCTGTTGCGTAGGTTGCTGAAGCGTACCTTGAGGTACTACTGGGGCTCCTTGGGCACCGGCCAGCGGGCCTGTAACGTGTTGTGCCCCACCAGTGACAGCGCTCGCACCTGGCCTACTTATTAACGGTGTAGTCGCCGTTGGGTAAAAATCTGTGAACCAAACGAAGAGGAGACGACGATGCAATTAAAACCGCTCTTCGACAATCACGACTATGTTGACGATTCGCTTATGCATGCGCGTTACTCACATGGTGGAGTCGGTGGAGGTGCATTATACGCGAACATATTTTGTGCCGTTAAAATGGCTGAGTGTTGAAACGGCGGGAAGTATGACTGATTTTGGTGCGTCTGGTGCCTTTGAGGTGGACCACCAAACTAAAATTATAAAACGTTTGTTACACTTACAGCCGGCCAGCAGTAAACACTGATGAATATGAGTATTTTCATAGTAATTGAACGTGGCGAACGATCTCGAATTTACAGAGCATAGATCTAGTCACGAGGTGATATTGAAATAGATTAACGAGTTCTCTACGATACGAAACGAGACTACTAATGAAGAGCGTGGCAATAGATATATAATATCAACAGTACTTAACTACTACCTGAAGGGGGGGTATTTGACTGTTCATGGAATATACGGACTGCTGATGTGGACCATGGTGAAGACTAGGTACTTGGTACATCGTTCCAGTTTGAACCATTCCACCACCTGGATGATAAATCGCAGTCGGTTGGCCACCACCTCCGCCAACTCCCGACATACCGACTACTTGCGCACCAGTACCCCCTTGACCTCCTCTGTGACTAATACCTCTCGGCTGTTGTGGCCTTGGACCTGGATAATAACCCTGTAATTTGAAGACGGAACGATCAGCCAACGTCTGCTGGTGATACGCGTGAAACGCGTTTCGCAGTTCGATCGGCGGAGCAACGAGACGAACAACTTCGAGATACGAGCTGTTATACGAGTTGTTCTCGTAATGTCTGTCTTCTGATTACCTGTGTCGTCGGCCTCGTCTGTGCCGGCCCGTATACTTGTGACAGAGGCTGTGGTTGAGGTTGTAGATGAGCCTGCTTTCCCATTTCCTGCGGCGAGGGGGTATGCACAGGGGGTGTCGTAGTAGGAGCCGGACCTTGCGGCGGTTGTGACTGTACCCCGGGTGCTGGGTTTTGCGGTGGTGCCTGTCCTCCGGCAGGACCTCCTGGCGGAATACCTGCTGCCGATTGTCCTATGGATTGTAAACCGCCGAGTGGAGGAGGCCCTCTGCCCCCAGGTACTCCTACACTACCCCCTCCCCCGCCCACCTGGCCCCCTGGTTGGGTGCCGTAATTTTGTCCTGACACATGAAAGTCTGATCCTAAAATGCAAACAGACAAAAGACATGGGACGTTAGTCGCGGCGGGAATCAATTGTCTGGACGAGACGAACGAGTAAATCAAATTTCGAAGATTCAACTCTGTTCCGTTGTAAAAACAATAGGATATCAGCAGGATTCAACAAGTATCCGGCGATCAATATTTCACGTGTCACAGTTACGAAATTACGAAGTGTACGCGCACACTTTACATACCGCTGGAAAAATGTAATAGTGACCATACTCGTTTCGTACAATGCACCGTGTACGTTAAATTCGACTTGATAGTACCTGCGATTTGCTACTTTCATGAATCTATCGAGCTGCACGTTCGTCTAGTACTACTAACGTTGCACGACGTACACGACGAAAGTAATTCGGGAGCAATTTATTTGTTTCAACTATAAAAACACTGCCTGGAACGTGTTTCGTATTTCGATTTTCGTACGACGATTATGCACGACTATGCCATGCAAAGCTTACGGTGACAACTCCTTATCATCGTTTATCATACGCATCAATTTGATTTGGCGATATCAGTAAAAAAATCTCGTAGAAAATATATATTTCGTGGCACGTTTACGTTCGCATATGCGTGCGATATTGCCCTCTGGCACTGCCGCTCGCCATTCTGTCGTTAAACGAATTACTTGTGAAAGCGATTATGCGTGGAATTGCATGACATCGTTTGACACGTCGTCATCGTCATCGTCTAAGAGATGTAGTGCAATCGGTTTCGTGTATTATCAAAACATCCGACCAGTAAAGATTATTCGCCTCTCGAGCCGAGGCAATGAACTCGTATCACCAGTAAAAATGCCTGATCGAAAACCCGTGGCAATTTCGCAGAGACGAACTAGAAAATATTTATCTACGCACGTTGCGAACTTATCGAAAGAGAGAACACGTTAAGGACACAGCCAGATAAAGGAGCAAACAAAAAGAAAATATGGGTAGTCGGTCGCTCACCGTTGAAGATCGGCGCGAAGCTGGTTATCGTTTTTTCGGTCGCCCAAATGTTGTGCCGATACGCGCGAACAGATCTTTACAATGGAAGAACAACGTAGTGACAGCAAAGCTCGAACGCGAGCAAAGAAACCGAGAAGACGGCCTCGCGAACGGCCATCTTTGCACATGTGGGCAGGGGCCGGAACAGTGCTGCCATCTGTAGTCCCGTGAGTGCATTGATTGCTACGAAAGGGGGGCGAGGCCGAACTCCATCGTCAGGATTGTATTAAATACCGTGAAAACATGTAAATTACATCTACATATACCTATACGTGCCCCTCGAAAACACTGGGAACCTCGATTCCCAATCGTTACGGGCTCACGTATCAAAGATACAGCGTTCAAATTCTTTCCTAACACATCCCACCTCCCCTAGATCTTCTATACGGATCAGGTCAGGAATAATCTCATGCTCACTCATTTTCATTGGCACCGTTAACTATCAAAATGCGAATTTGATTTCTCGCCCTGATACACCAGTATAACCTATTTTGACAAATCGCATCGTCTCACGTCGATGTGAACCGTGTAGAATTCAGTTTCGATCGTTCATCGTATTGTCCCATGAACTTTATATTCAAACGATCTAATAAGACGCATACGGGTATATTGGCGAAGTGAAAGAACCGTGGCCTGAAATATACAATTCAGAATGCAACACGTCATTTCCGGGACAGATTCCCTTCTCCTCCCCTCTCTATTATTTCCCCACTTGTCTACTCGACTAATAAACCACGCATATCTAATAGATTCGGATTGAAAAACGTACGTAGACGACAAATTTTAACTTTCGCTGTTCGGCGAATCGATGATAGAGGAAAGGTTAGAACGATCGCGTTCGAGCCACGTGGCTGCACCGTGTGGCATGCTCGAACGGTAACCGCGGAAATACAATTTCTTCTTAAAAGCGAAACATTGCTGCATTCGATTCGTTGGCCGGGCGCAATTCTTAAACTTATGTTTCAAGCATTCCAGCTCCTAGTGAGCAACATAGTGTTATCAGCGAACAGATTAGGGGCGATAGCGCTATGATTCATATCGAAACTATCTGAAGTATACAATGCATTCTTAGAACCAGTCACCGTCGAACGTCGATTATAACGTTTATCCAGGACCTTTGTTGTTGATTGACAAACTTAATTTTTATGTTACGAACTGATAGTTCGATATCTCTATTAAAGAAACAACTTCTGTATCTCGTGGAGTAACGTCTTCATAATTGATTGTTATCATTAGACTTTATACAACTATAAGACAATTCAACAACCAGAAGTGATAGATGCACGTGATCTACAACGATTATCTAAATCGATATCGATTAATCTAAAACGATTTAGAACATCAGCATCCGGATGGATATGTTTAAGCATAGTTGTTACACCGATACCACAAACGGTTTATTTTGCATGACGATCCACGGTCCATCGATTATGATTAAAAAGCACGAATTACACGGTATGATAAAAATTGATCGTACACGTTATTCTTTAGCTGGTACACGCGTGCAGTAGTACGTGTCCCAACTTTTGCAACAAGCATTTCAACACGATTTTCATTTTCAATTTGCAATACGCAGAAACGTGTCGATAATTAATAATATTCGGCATGAACGGTTCCTCGTAACGAAACGAAAGTCACCGAACAGTAAAATATAGAACAACGAAATCGTTGAAAATATTTTTACCGAAAAATCGGTAGAACTCCTGGAATTTCTTGGAATGCTAGAATGTAGGCGTCACCGTGGCAAGACATATCATGCAAGAGGAAAGAATCGAACGTACCTTCGTGGCTGTACAAGAAGGTAGAAAGCATTTTATCGATTGACCTATATCGCGAATTGTCTACAATGCCGCTCAGGGGCGCTAAGGACTAACCCAAATACTAAACTATCCGATATATCGATAAACAGAACAATTATAAATCACGATCGTTCGTCGATCGAGCCTCCCTGGAATTCTCCTCAATTTTTTTCTACGATGGATTCGAACGAACGAACGAACGAACGAACGTTTCAGTGAGGCGAGGTAAAAAGGTAGAAGCGAGATAAACAGATAGAAGCTAGGCAGAATTGAACGTTTGAAAGATCGTCGAAAGAGAAGACGGATCTAAAGAGTTGTACGATTTTCCTTGGTGATTATTAATGAATGAACGAACGAAGACACTGCGAAGAGAACCGTGTTACAAGAGCGTGCGCACGTTTAAGATGCTGTGAGCGATGATAAAGTAAATATAATTTCCCAAATATTATTCGGTACAAGTCGAGCTTGGCCGTGTATCCGCAAATAGACGCAAACGATTCGACTTCTGACAGATAGGGCACCAGGTCAAATTAACTCTACCTCCAGTATGCTCGAAAATAACGGGCCTCGTACGTGTACACGTACCTCCTTCTACGTGTGTGCATAAGTGGGCAGGCAGATATCAAACCACGCTAAGTTATGCAATTACATTTGCATTAACGCGCGCAATGAAAGATTTAGCGATACGGTTAAAAACGGGGGGTCCCATCCATGTAATTCATTATCTACAGACGCGAATCGTATCGAACGCGATTAAGTATTAATTTCGGTTTCTCGGATTGGATGGTAGAAGCAACTCAAAGTAATAAGCAACTAAAAGTAGGGATAGATAAGCGAATGGTACCTAAATTCGAAACAATGCTTCCACTGGTCACGAAAATGTATGTCCATGATGGAGCAAACGAAGACAGAGCGTCTCTGTTTGGTGCATGCAAAAAACAACGTGTTTATTGCGACTGCAACAGTATAAATTTCCTTTCGCTCTTTACAAGGTGAAGAGAGGCTATTGGAAAATGATACGTGGAAGAGCTGGGTACCTACGATTTTGTCTTTTTTCGTAAGACGAAAGCGTGATTAAATCGGATGATGATTTACACGTTGATAATGATACTACTCCCCCTCTTGAAGTTGTTTTAAACAGATTCGGAGAAGTCTCAAGATAATCACTGATCTGGCTCATCTGCCACCGAGTAATAATTAGTGCGAACAGCATGTACATACAACGAATTTCTCGTGAGAAAGTTATGCCTGAAGCATACGCTAAATTTCTATTCTAAATGCCATAAATTGGCGATACGAAAATTCGTTCCTACAGATGAACTCTGCTCTGCTGATCCTGTCGATCTTCGTTGAATCGTCATTTCTAACTCATAATTTTTGTACAGTTTAATTACATGTCGAGCGCCTATTGAAATTTCTACGCGTAGTACCTACTTACAATTGTACTGTTCATTTCAATTGTACAGCTGCCAGAGCTGAAATATTACCCAGACCCAAATCGTTTCCACCAGTCCCCGTCATAAATTCAAGTCGAAAGGAACGTGAAAAGCGTTTCTCGTTCCCATCCTTGTCCTAAAAGCTAACAGAACTTCCGTCCCCAAGTTCCCGTCTTCGATGTCTCTCCCTTATACCCTCCCCCCTCTCTCCCACTCTCTCCACCCTCGCTCCTCTCCCGAGTTTCATTTGCTGTTTTTGTACTTACTAGCGTTTGCAGTAACGACTCGATACTGCGGCGGTGCTTGTTGGTGCTGGGTTTGTTGCTGTTGCTGCTGCTGATGACTCAGATGGTTTATGTTGACGGTCAATTGATGATGGCTCAACTGATGGTTCAAGTGGGGACTCGGCGAGGGTGGTGGCTGATGAGCCGGATGCACGTGGTGATTGTGACCAGGCTGCGGATTTTGTGGATGGGGGGCTGAAAGATGGTGGTGGTGATGGGGCCCTACGCAGTGTGGCAGGAGACAGTGCATGGGCCCTACACCCACGGCGACACCCACCGCGCCTTCCTTCGAGACGCCATACCTCGAAACCATTCTTCCTAGTGTAATTGTTCTTATTCTTCGTCAATGGCGCGCGCGCGCGCGCCTTGACTGACAACGTTGATTTTAAACGAAAGGAGTCGATCAAAACGAGACAGTCTCGTCGATTGTTTCGACGATCCTCTCGGACGATGGGCGCATCAGGATTCTTCCGTAGTCTGGTCGTTGTCCGTGAATCCAGTTAATCAGTGACTAACACTCGAGTCCATCGAACGTTGTTTACCGTCCAAGTGAAGCGAGTGCGAAGATTCCTTTCCATCCACGTGCTCGTTTAATCATATTATTCTGGGACAGCGATCGTTGTGGTAACGTGAAAATAAATATGTTTCGTCTCTTCCTCCTTTTCACGGGCTCGAAACTACCGACAGATCCGGTACGCTAAACAAACGGATAACGGTGTCAAGTGCGAGGAGGAGCTCATCGATACTCGAGCGATTTCGTTCGTGTCCACGAATCTCCCAATCGGCAATGCTGTATCATGATGATGTCATCGGGCGTTCGATCGGCGATGCAACAAAGGGCTTTGTAAACGGAGCTCATCTATCGCGATAATTGCATACGCCCTACAGTGGAGATCTGTTTTTGAGAACGCTGGCAGTATCGTTGTCTCTCGACTCTTTCCCTTCTCGTCCGGGATTTCCTTCCTCGAGTCCTGCTCTCGCTCGCGTGAGAAACACTTGGCTCTATTCGTAAGTGTCGCAGGTGTATTGCGCCCGGTCGTTTTTCGACTTTAATTCACCCGTAACGATATTCCTCTTTTTCCCCCGGTCAATTAGTACTTATCGATCTTCGCTCGCCTAACAAAGAAAATCGTTGACGACTAGAGGAAACGTAGATGAAATTCTAGAGAGGTGTACAAATTCGAAGGACATTGGAATAATACTAGAACGAAATAAATAAAGTGTCTTGGACAACATTTAATGAGATGATCGATCGATGGCCACCACCGGATTATCTCGCCTTAGTCGCGTTTTATAAACGAAATGTCTGTATACGTGCCGATCCGAAAACAACATCGTGTTCGTTCGTCGCTTCGAAACTAGTACGGGCTAATTCACGCGTGCCACTTCATTATTCAAGAACAAGTTCACCGAGAACATTTGATCCTCCCCTTAAAATGTATCACCACGCTACCATATTGTTTTTGTTTCGTATCGATGCACGCGATTCCTTTCGACGGAACGCCAGCCGCACTCAACTGTCAAAACTTTTCAACGTGGAGATGCACAAAGGTGGTAGGAGACACGCTGAAACGGACGGACTCTCGTACCTCCTCTCTATGCCAAAATCGATATTTAAGGCTCGACCGGCGTCTCCCTCTTCGCACCGCCCACTCCTCCTGCCACGGGAAACTTCCTGTTCACGGAGTACATAAAGGTTATGTCCACCGAGAGGAATTATCACTAAAAACGGAGTTCCAGCGGCACAGTCGAGCCCGTTTCACGGCGGGCACCTAGAAAAGATTCGTTTTTTCCACCGCACGTTCCTTCCTTCCTTCCTCCCTTCCTCAGTATTAGATCACTGGGGAAGTCTCTCGGAGACTCGATCGGAGGTATTCGGCCGCGTGCCGAAAAGTACCGAGCCGCGTTCTATGTAGTTCCCTCCGTATCGAGATTTGCAAACGCGATAAAAAAAAAATCGCTGAAGGAGATCGCTGGTGGCACGATGCACACACGGTATTCAACGACACCAGGTGAACTCGATGACCAGCACCACGTTCGACGTGTCCGGAGGGAAACGCGTACGTCGCAAAAGTTCGAATCGAGCAGGAGGGAACCGAAACGGCGTTCCTAGGTCGCGCGAGATTCTTCCTCGTGTACCATGAGGCGGCCGTTCGACGTACGGCCGTATATGACCCTTTGCCAAGGGTTTCCCTTGTTCGATAATGCCGGTCGATACTCGAAGAGTGTTCGACGTATACGTTTGCAGCTGTGTGACGCGTCGATTCGGAGAGGGGAGAGGTAAATTAACGAAGACGTGAAGACGAGCGTACCCTTTTGCAAGGGACGCGGCGTAGACTGATGCAGGCTAGTCCTTCCCACACGACCTACGAATCGCGACCCGTGGCCCCCTACCCGCTTCGCACTGCAACTAAGGAGCGACAGGATCGTGTATCGATTTCAAAAAAACCACCCCTTACCGTTCAATCGTTTCGCACGAACTCCGGAAATAAACGAAATTACTTCTCGATTCTTATTAATACCCCGCCTGCATCGATTCTACGTTGAAAATCAACTCAAGTACAGCTTCGGCTGAGAGTACGTTACATAAAAAAATACGTGTGTTTCGTACGAAACTCGAACACGAGATCGATTATTACGCAGCATAAATCGTTTGACGTGATTCTAAGTCGACGACAGTGTCGATTCGTGAATCCTACCTCGACTTTGCTAGAATTGAACAGCTTTTCATTCGGCGAACGGGTAACGTCGCGATTACCTCGTGTCGAACGAACACTGTCGTACGATATGAAAATGCGTAATTAATAAAGTTTGCATCTTACTTCGAGTAATCGAATCGTGTAAATATCGTGGATGTTAATTATAAGTGTTATAATACGGCCCTGAATAGCAGTCAAACGCCAAACCCACGTCGGAGTCGAAGGTAAAGCCGCGTGCGCAGACCGGACAGCACAAAGATGGCGTAAGGCTCCGCGCATGCGTAATAATACCCGACACGGCGGACCCTTCGACTCGCTCGTATGAATGCAAAAGGCGCAGCGCGCAGCAGCCCCCCACGTACTACGTTCGAGGGTAAGACGACATGCACGCGTATAGCCCATTCGCCCTAACTTTCCCACATGTGTCACACCCGTTTGTTTGCGCTTCGTTCTTGCTAATTAAACGTGTCTGACGTAAGATCTCTCGATACGAGAGACTCGTTCGACTCGGCAGTACGACATGAACGGTAGGAATGGATTCGTTCGCGAATTCACGATTAGAAATTCATAATCAGAACTTTGAAATTCGAATCTGACATGAGACAATGGTACGAAACGACGAAGGCACGAGCGTCATCACGTGTCAAACAAATATATGTGTAATATTATGTATTATTATCGTTCCATAGCATGGTTGTTCTCGGGATACTGCGCATCAATACTACATGCGGTACGTGTGCATGCATTACGTAGTAGACGTCCAAGCCAAGTAGATGTAACGAACGATTTCTATTAATATCCTTCAACCTTCTTATTTGAAGTGGACGTTTTAATTACTCGGGATCATCCCGTCGTGATCGATCGCGCATAACAACGTGTACGTTTAAAAAAAATGCTATGCGGCGATCGAAATCCCATTGTTTGCGTCTCGAGTGAGTCCGCACACGTAAATGATTCAATGGATCGTCTGTGATCGCAGGATGTTCGGCACTCTCGCGAGAGTACCTTTCAATTGGCACGAGAAAAGCCGCGGAAGAATGGAGGAGATTTGCGTTTGTCAACTAGGATGAACAAGCGACCAAGTACCTACTAGCTGGACCGAGAATGAGACAAAGCGGAGAAGCGTGAAGCCACGGGGAGAGATCCACGAGAGCGCGTGGCACGCGTGGGCGAGGTGCGTGCGAACGCGTGGGTACAGAGGAGGAACACGGCAGGCGAGGAGCAAGATCCTCGGAATCGTTGGGTGGGTAACCCAGTTTCGCCGGTGCAGCAGGCCAGGCTGCAGCGACGTCGTTCAACGATCGATACCTATATGCACCGGGTAGGTACTATCCGCAGCCTAGATCCGCTTGTCTAGGATAGGTGCAAGAAGGGGACTGCACGACCTACATCTCTCTCCGACGGGAGTGCAACAAAAATATGATTCAGGGAATCGTGTTCGACGATCACGCGTTGTCCGGTAGCGAAGGAATCCGCGGAGAGTACCTGTTAATGCGTCCCACAGAGTTTATCACCGTTGCTCTTTTTCGATCGTCATCGATCTCGACAAGCATCCTGAGGAAATACAAGCCTGAAAAGAGTTAACGAGTACTTTGCAAAAAACTGTTTTTTCGTTTTTCGTCAATAACTCGTAAACTATTAATGCTAGCAACAAACTTTTATACAGAAATTGTAGATCTCGTCGTCCTCTACAAGAAAGGTCCTATGCAATTTTCCCGTATCTCCAAAGATTTAGGAGTAATTAAGGAAAAATGAAATTTTTTGTCAAAAGTACGCCGTTTCGACGCTGGGATGGTCGGATTTTGTCAACATCAATAAAATGCCATATAATCATATGTAACTCATTAAATATCGAAATTAGATGTTAAGATTTCATCTGCATGTGTAATTAAACCCTGACACATCTGTTTATCGTGTGTTACGGCTAATGCGTTTTATGGCAGAGGAAGTCGAAGCACCTCGGAAAGTGTCTCAGAGTTCTCGTCATCCTACGATCTTGATTTCCTAAATACGTTCGATAATTCGATGATTTCATCGGTTCAAACAGAGCTCGCAGACACGGAGATCCGTGTCCGCTCGAACAAAGAGTTTACGTCTGCATCGGAACCGCAGATTACGCGTCCAAGTACACAGAGTATTTTTGTTTAACGACGATAAAATTGCGACGAAACCGGAGGACGAGCTATCTGGTTGTTTGAGCAGGGGAAAAATTCGAACGTTTCGGGTATACGGGGAAAACGCGAGTACGAAGCATCGATAAGAAGGATAAAAGAAGTAGAAGAAGAAGAAGAAGCGAAGAGGAGCCGTAACCTCCGGCAACCTTCGGTCGCCTCGGTTCAAACATTTTACCCAGACGAGACGGTATAGTTCAAAGTCCTCTGGTGAAAACATAGCCAATGAGTCATCCTTGCCGAAAGAATACGGGGAGACCAGACATGGTCTCGCAAACTTTTTTGATCTGCCAAGTACAATGATTCACTGTTAATTGCCCTTTCGAGTTCGGTTTTCGGCCCTCCGAATGATTCACTCGGCCGATAACGCTTCTACGATAAGTCTGACGTATCTTGGACGAGCGACAGTATCTGAAAAGTACGAACGTTAATTCCTTGCGCCACGTTCTTACGAATGTTCCGTGAAACGAGTACAGAGACGTTGGGGCCGAGAAGAAAGTAGCGAAGGTGTGCACATGGACCATAGAAGTCGGTTTCCACGGGTCTTCGAGCCCTCGAGCCGTTGACCTTGGGAAGGTAGCATGGAGATCTCGCGGTGTGCGAGCAGTAGTACACTGCCTCGCTACGTAGGCGTTCGGTAGGAGGCAGGAGGTTACAAGCGCGCAAGAGGAAAAAGGTCGCGAACGCCAGGGGAAAGAAGAACGCGGATCGACGTACGTCTGAACGAAGACAGCGATTTTCTCCCTCTGCTTTTCTTCGTCTATCTTTCTACGCAAAGGGAGGGTCGATATTTACCGGCCTTCCTCATCCCCGCGGGCGGGCAACGACCTATCATCCCTGCATATCCCACGAACTCTCTCTACCACCCTCTGCCTAGCTTTCTCTTTGTTCGATTTCCCTTTTCCCTGCCAGCTGCTACGTGTACTTCTTTCACCGACGCATGTTCACACCCTCCGACGACTGTCCCCTATCCCGGCAACTGTTAAACATAGTGACACTGTCACTGACTTATGCCTCAATGCCTCGACCTCGAGGCGACCCTAGCCGCGTCCTTTGAGACTTCTTCAATTATGATCAGAGAGCCAATGTCTACGGTGTACAGAGTCGAACGAGGCAAACGAGACTCGCGCGGGAGTAGCAATTTTACTAGTTGATTCGATGACACTTTTTCCCCCGTTCATACAGACACGCGAGACTCCGTCTAAACGCACAGACGAATCGCAGAACGTTCGCGTATAAGTATGGGCTCCTCCAGACGAGAAGTCGATCTTTGATCGTGTTTCCTGATCTCGTTCGCTATCTAAAATCAGAGTTCAGTATGATTCTACTGCAGCGAGACTTGGACGAAGATCGATTTCCGATCTCGGAAATTAGGATCATATGGAACACCACCACCGTGTGACACGATTGTATTGATCTACGATCGAATCGAATGTTCAGAAATGTAATTACCTTTGAAACAGACTCCTGCTTTCCCCCCCGAAATGCTTGAGCGCCAAGTGAAATTATTTATCGATTAAAAAGGAAACGTGCGTGTCAGCTACGTACACGTGCACGTACACAAAAATTATTTGACCGTGCGTAAAAATACGCTTTCTACCAGGAACTGTTGAGAACCTGGTTTACCAACCGACGTGCACGTGTTAAATGTCACAATGCTATGGTGCAACAAACTTACTAGGAATAAATTATATAACATTGAATAATTCTTCGGTCTCGGCGATGTACCGCCGCGTTTACACAGGGCTCGGGGAGCTGCTGTCGAAAAGTAAGATCCTCTCTTAGCTTCGGCGAAAGAACGTCGAAAGGAAACGGGAATTAACTATAACGTAACCGTAAAAGTATGCTCGTCGAAGAGGCGAGGAGATTGGTAAGAAGCAGGCAAAGTACGGTTAGTTTCTCCCCGGATGTCTGATGGCCTCCTTCTCGTACAAGCGGCCTTGCCGGGAATGCACATTTTCTGTCGGTTTGCCGTTTGCTTTGGCTTCGATTCGAATCGATGCACAGACGTCTACACTACCTTTCACCCGTCGTCTACTAATCGCGTGGTAGTGCTCTTTATCGTTTAACATCGTCGCGACATCTCTGTTGTCGTCCACTAAAATCCTCTCGCAGACTCTGTCCGTTATCGGTACACGGCTTTTTCTCTAACGTCCAAGACGACCAAGAACAATGTCTTTGGCCAGGCGTTTGGGTCGATCTGTCGAACCAAGAAAAGTCATTGAAGTACGCGAAATCTGTTTCCATTGATAAAGAAGAAAGGAATTCTTACGATGACGACACGTCGAGGAGAACCGGTGGCATGAAACCTGTACAGCGTTCAATTCGCAGCTAGCTGGGTTTTCAGGTCGACTCGCGGAATCGGCACGATTACGTAGCGAAATTCGCATTCCGTTACAGGAAGAACGTGAAACGCTCGTAATTATTGAAGTTACGAGAGTCACCTACGATATCGTGTATGATAACGAGGAGCTTGATTTCGTAATGGACGTCGTAGACTAGACGTTCGAAAGGAAAAAGTTTCTCAACTGGTAGAGTACGCACTGAAAGTCTAGTCGGAATTTTTAATAAGCAGGAACAGGAAGCCGACGCGAAATTCGGGAAGTTGAACGACCGACTACGCACGATGATCGATTCGTTGTTCGATTGATACATAAAGAGACTGCGAAACGTTTGCAAACGATTGTCATTCGTGAGCGAGCACAGTGTTAGGCGGATTTAATTATGATCCGGGCTGTCTACCGACGATGGAAAAGATCCGACAGTGTTCTAAACTATGTACGTGGCTATTAATTAGCGACATCTTCCTTCACACCGTTCGATCTTACTGATCGTCCTGTGCATTATGCAATTCAGACCGTGATGGCCTTTACAATGAACAGACATTACTCAACGAGACCTTGACGACCTCGGCTCGACGGTGCAACGTCTTACACCTGACTACGAACAATTTTCCCGACCAAGAAATCCTCTCGATCGAACGATCCGATCGTTCCGTCAATTTTAATAAATGTAAATGTTTCGCGACGGCCGGGAAGTAAGTACTGTCAGAATGGCGCACGTGTTCGCACGTTACGCACCTGTGACTTACTGTACTGGCCGTTCGAAAGATATCGGTCGGTTTTAGGAATCTCTCGTGACACACGTGACACATCGCTGATGAGAGCCGATCGTCATGTGGGAGGTGATCCACACACGGACTCACGCGACATCTTCTGAAATCCACGACAAGTTGTCGCTTCGAAGTGATACACATATTCGCGTTTTCGACGACGGTTCGACGATGGAAGAAATCGGGCATCTCCCGATCGCGTGTGCACACGATGCATAAATCGGTATCCTATTAAACGACGTTTAATCGAAAGAAATCTATCCGAGCGTGTCACGGAGACGAACAACGAAGCGCGTTTACTGTCTGGGAAAGAAGCATCGGCTCGTGCGTGATAAACGAACGAGAAAACATTCGATTGTTTCGAACGGACCATCGCCGCGAACATAGCGTGACATTCGACTTACCGACCACCGTGGACATTTTCGGCCCCTGTGCTGTTTCTACGTGTCTCCGTTCCAAGCCTTTCTACGAGCGTTATTGCTAGTAATAGTGAAAGACGGTGTCGATTGATAGCATGTTTTTGCGGTGCGATTGCTCAATGGCTATTCACTTTCGTTCGTCAGACATGCGAAGCCAACGCACGAGGTCTCTTCTCGAAACTCGAAAGAGCTCGATGGTAAGTATCTGAACGAACGGACGCTCTTCGTGGCTCGCGAGCGAAAATACCGCTCGTCGAAATTATATAATCTCCGCGGTGGCAAAGACGATATGATACTAGCAAGGCGATGTTTTCTTGCGAAGTTAGTAGCTGCGAGGCCCGGCAATACCACTGCTGCTGCTGCTGCTGCTGCTGCTACTGCTGCTACTGCTACTGTTACCGATATCGTTAGACTCACTCTCGTGCGGAAAATTGGTGAACTTTTTTTTAAAAGGCTCGACTATTGCTCGACTATTGCTCGTCGAACGTTTTCCCGCGTTCTCTATTCTCCCGACGCGGTCCTCGCGTTACGCTAGAATTGCAGTGAACACGTTCTCTCCTGACTCAAGTTCACACACTTTTGAACACGCGTTCTACGACCATATGCTGCCTGTAACTACATGTAACTTTGTAATACACAGATAACACGATTCGTTCGCCGAGGACAGCTACCGAGTACGAATCATTGGATCCTCGTGAATCGGCTCCGTGTGCGCCGTTGGTAAAAAAAGAAGAGCAACAACGTTTCCCGACCATAAGATTACGAGACAGCCTTGAAAATATCACCCCGTAAAAACGGATGACGGGCCTTCGACGACGTTTCGTGCGATCTCTACCGTGTTTACTCGAAACTTTGGTACGCTCGCGACAAATTCTACTCAATTATTTTCACTACGAGGCAAATAAGAAAGAAAAAAAGAGAGCAAGAAACGTGTGTACCGTGTGGCTTGATTGCCACATGTACACGGACTATGTGCGATATACAGCCGAACTCGATGCTCGGCTGTTTTCGTAAACTTTCGACGAGTCAGCTATGTCGCCTCGTTTCATCCTATCCTCCTTCTCTTTTTCCTTCGCGGGTTCTTTCCCTGGTTTCTCTACTCCGAACCAGAGTTTTCGTCCGTCCGGTCAAACGACCTTTATACCTGTCCATCTGTTCTTGCTACGTGTTCCCGATACCTCCACCGAACGATACCTAACTCGACCGAAGGGAAACTGTGTCCCGTGCGTGATTCAACTCCTCTCTCCTTCTGGCATGTTTCTTTAGATGCGGGTACATTTCATACGATGAGAATCGTATGAGAAAGAAATTGCCTGCTGGGAGAAGACTGATCCGATACAGAAAGTCAAACGATGACATCGACGTAATTTGGTAAATGGGTCTTCTACGAGGTCATCTCGAGACCGATTTGTGTGCGTACACGATATTGCCACTCGGTCGATCCAGTCGAAAGGGAAAGTAGATATACAGACGTGTACATGTAACGTCGTAGTAATTCGAACATTTTGAAAGTGATGCACGATCGTTCGTGAAACGAAGCACTCGAACGTTGACGAGTACTTGCGCGATGAAACAGAAATAGTTTAGGGAAATATAAATTCGACGCATTGGACAGAGACAGAACTCGCACGATCGTCTGTTCCACGGCTTCCATAATTTCATTACGTCAGTTTCCTCGCGTTTAGTCGACTGTATCTTGACGAAACGAAATGATTCGACGTCACTATTCGAAGATGCAATAATATCGTTGGACGTAAAGAATATTATAAGCCCCCCCAAAATGAATAAGTATGCACGTCATGCGAACGAACGAGCGTCGCGAACGGAAATTTTCCACCGAGAGTCGTTCTAAATTCATGACGATGGAAGGAATAAGACACGGATATTGAATTGCCGAGTAATTATCAATTACTCGGAACATAAGTAACTCGTCGTTCGATTGGCCGGGGTTTTACGTTCCGGACAGGCTTTCAATGGAACGAATGAAACACAGAGAGACCTATTCACGGGCATCGAACGACCGAAAAATAAATGTGTCATTGCGGACATTTTTACGGAATCCTCTTAAGAGCCACATGGACCGCATGGCTGTTCTAACCTCGAAGCATAACCTCGATAGCCGTTCGCGACACGATTTCTACGCCGATATGCGCGGAGAAACTCGCGATACGGGCAATGATTTTACAGCGGAACACGTGGAAAAATTCAACTGGAATACGTAATGGAAGAAAAACAGTTCGGACTCACCAGCATTTGGTACGAAACGCGGGGTGTTGGACGTGACCACAGTGTTGTAGGCTTGAGGCGAATGAACGCTTGCTTGATTGACGTTCACTATGAGCTGAGGCTGATGCTGCTGCGGCGGATTATGATGAGGCTGCGAATGATGCTGATGGTGTTGGGGCAGGTGGTGATGTTTCCCTTTCATCGGCATGCTCATCGCAGGCGTAGGCCTCCTTTCTTCAAACTCTCCACTACCTTCAAAGCTTGTTGCCTTATGTGGCTCGCCGAGGTCCTCATAGGTACGTTATTTTCGCACGCGCGTAGTTAATCGTCAACGTTTCTTCGTCGGTAGACTTGTCGTTTGAGCAAATTTTGTTAAAAAAATTCGACGCACGCAAATTGATGGTTAACGTCCGGTTACCCGTACGGAACTGATGATGGCACGTTTACACGCGCGCGTACTTCAACCACGACGACCGATTCATGTACGAAACTTTACGATTCACCTTTCACGCAGCACTGTTCCCGATTTAAATCGCGGTTACCGCTCGTATATCTAACGACGAATTGGACGCTTTTTTCACGGTACCGTCTCTTTGTCCGTTGGTTCGTTCGACTAAAAGTGTTTACACTCGTGTCGCTTCCTTTTCCGAGATGCGCGCGCGGTTGTAACGTCCAACTGCGCACGGTCCTTTAATTATTTTCACGATACTAACAAACTGTTATCCTCAATAATCGTACTTACGCCGTTCTACCTGCCTAAAATCACGAGTAAATTGTCTGACAAACAGTAAATTACTTGTTTTCTTCTAAGAAAAAAGAAGCGACGCGCACCATACATTGAGCACAACCACAGCACGCCTTTTTTCCCATTTCCTCCTCCGTAACGTTCCCTAGCGATGACACGGAAATCCGAGCTTGCCGCGCATTTCGAACGGAAACGATCGTCCGACGAATTATGGACGAGCAATACGCGTCAAATTATTTAATTATAAATCGCGATATAAGTACGTCGTACGCATTAATTAATTAGTTTTCTCGAAAAGGTACTATTTTTTCGAAACGCCGCAAACGGACTTGTGGTAACATGGCGAAACAAAATTCTGCCGCGGCCAATCCGATTTCTAGCCGTTATTATACGACAAACGTATAGTATCAATCAGATAACCATTTTATATTATTTTATAAGAGCAGAATACGAGGAACGCCCTGAGCGATGTGTGAATCCAATAACCAATTCATAACCGCTATAGTAGCATTTATTCCTACAGGTAACAATTATTCCTATACACATCCATGATGCCCTAGTCGTCACTAGTCGAACATGACTAAATTCATACAGTATCGTAATGCGCCGATGTAGAAATCAGTAAAAATAAAACGTCAGCCGCAAGAGAACGGAATAGAAGAATGTCAACAAAAATGAAAGATGTAGATAATAATTTGCCGTTGCCTTCCGATCGAATGCCCAACTGTTGGAACGAAGATGAAAGAATGAGTTCTCTGTTCGCCCCGTTCCGAAGCAAATCTGCCAATCCGCAAGATTGGACGTCGAAATACAAGTTTTGGAAAAATTTAATATACGACTGGTTAGATCATAACAAGAGGACTACGTTCTCCCTCGCAGACTTGAACGATGCTTTTAAAAGAAAAGGTTGCACGCCGCTTTGCTTGATGACCGTCGTCGAGGAACTCGTTCGGTAATGTAATGTTCAATGAGCAATACAAACACACCGTTTCGTGACGAACAATCCTCAAATTGATTTGTACATTGTTACAGGAATAATGAAATTACTCGAGAAATCGAGTTTTTAAAAGAACCTAGCGAATCATGGACCGCATGGTCGATCGATATATTTGTCAAGAAGCCGATCTCATGGTCGTTTTCTAAAGTCAAGAGTTACATCGTGAGCGACGAGCTCGACAAGAATGCTAGATATGTACATTTACAAATTGTCAAAGAGATTAGCAACGCTTTGTTGCCCGTCTTGGAGGAGAGAAAGGAATCTGTTCTCATACCGTTCTCTGACATAGTGAAAAGTTGTAGATCTAAGATAAGCGACAATATATCGGAGAATACAGTAATGTTAGCTTTATTATGGTTGAGACGTGAGAAGAGAGTGATTTTTAAAACCAGTCAAGACCAAAGTGAGTTGTTAATAAAAATTGCTGTACATTCGTCGGACAGTGTAACAGAGATTGAGGAAGGCTTGTATAAACTGATTAAACAGGAGAGCGAGCTTGTAAAAGAAATAGAGCAAATGGAAGCAGAGAAGGTGAAGGTGATTGACACGGCTAAAGCGTGTCTGAGCAAGGGATTGCGACAAGTGGCGAAGACCCACTTGAGGAAGAAGAGAGAATTAGAGAATGTTATTGAGAAACAGTCGCGAAATCTCGACAACATTCGAAGTCTCATATCGACCATTCAAAACAGTCATACGAATACCGCTGTATTGTCGGCATACAGAACAGGGTCGAATGTACTGAAGAAACTGAACGAAAGCGGTTTATCGGAATTGAACGTCGGAGATATCATGGACGATCTCGCAGTGGTGAGCCAGCTTTGAGGTAAATGAATTCATCTCTGATCTGATACGACGTAAAATTTGTAGGCCTTGGAGGAACAGAAGGAGGTACAATCTATGTTGACAGAACCTCTCGTCGACAACGAATTGAACATTGATTTAGAAGAAGAATTGGCAGAATTAATGAAACTCGATGAGAATCCTCTCCCCTCTGTACCCGATACGAGCTTGAATTCTAGCATCGACGAGCTCGAAATGAATTTGAAGAATTTACAAGTCAAAGGTATGGTAGAACAGCGAAGCGTAAAGATGCGGTAGTGATCCTTGATATTACTTTACAGAAACTGTCGCATCGAACGCGTCATCGAAATCGGATAAGAGCGTTGGCAGTAAAAAGATATTGGCACAAGCCGAGTAGGTGGGAGATGGACAATGTGAACAAAAGGTTCGTCTTTCTGTGATACTCCTACGGTATATTTTTATCGCGTACATTTTAAAATAATAATAATATTACGGACTGTTTGCGTGTGATACGTTGGAAATCGTGTTTTGTAATAGAATCATGCTCGAATCAAAGTATTTTTAAACAATTTGAACATACAGAATTTTATAAATATATTTAAAAAGTATCTTATTTAAGATTTGCGTGTATCAAAGACTTGTCGTTTATAAGTTTTCAACATATAAATACAGTATCACCCACTTCTCATTAAACGTAACTAATACCATTGTCGTTTGATTAGTTGAGCAATGTGACAAATAGTTTGATGATAGGCAATGGAAATGAATATAATAACGATGAAGTGAACATATACGTGTAAAAACTTGGTATAGTCTTTCGAGTTTCATCGGTACGTTTCATGCTTAGCAGTATTTTAGAAAACTGTTAGATCGTATAATAAAGAATTTGTCTTCCTAGTCGAGCTCATGAATTATCACGGATCTGGTCGCGTGAAACGCATCGAATGCAACGTGTCAGTATGAGTTTAGACAGGGGGGTAATTGTTGGTTCTCTAGCCTAAGGATCACGTTCTGAATCCATTGTATGTGCATAGAGACTCGAGTGTACAAAGAGTACGAATAGCTGTTGCACACTCTCTCGGCTCCCAGTTGCAACGTACCAACACTGACGCTAACGATTCCTTTCAAGTACCACAGTTCGCCCTTCTTAAAGACTAGTCCTCCGCCACTGTCACCGTCACAAACTGCAGACCCTGCAATTCGTACATAAATATATTTTACAGATTCCTATAAATAATGACTTCTCAAAGCCGAATCGTTCGTTTACCGTTCGTATAACCGGCACATAGCTTGTCTTGAGTCAGAAGTTTATAACTCTCGTTATTGATTCTGATGAACGACCTGCACTCGTTGTATCCTATGTATGGCACTGTAATCGCTTGTAACAAGAAACTACTTGGCCCGAGATGTGTCCTCCCGAATCCAGGAACTTTTCCCAAACTCCCCGATTCGAGATCAGTGTCGCTAGAATCTAAACACACAGGTCGTAATAACTCCGTAAATTGAAGCGGTTTGTCAAGTTCCAATAGAGCAATGTCCAAAGCATAATTTCCTTCGTATCCAATGTAACCGCAAATGTTGTATATGCTCTTCACCTGAAACATTGAAGATATGAATGACGATTGCTAGAATACGTCGAGACGAAGACTTCCAATTGAGAGAACTCGAATCACTCACCCTACGTTTTTTAACATGGGCATTGTGCCCTGGAAAATCGTAATCCCTGAAGACGTTGCCCGTGGCGATATAATAGTTCGATGGCTCGTCGAATTGTCTCCTCCTCTCGTTGAAAACGCAGTGCGCTGCCGTCACCAAGAGCTTCTCGTGAATAATAGTCGCACCGCAAATGAATCTCTTCTCTCCGTCAGACGTTTCGCTCGTATAAATGGTTGCGTGCCACGGGAACTCGCTGATATTAGCCGCAGTTCCGTTCACGATAGTCGGTATTAAGGTCGGAGATGCCGGCACACCGCAAGCTAAAACATATACGTGCATTGAACAGGAATTATGAATGTCTCAGAAGACAATTATAAATCCATCACGCTGTGTAATTCTAGGCATTGTGACTGACCACGATGCACATGTGAACACATCACACTAGAGATGATGCATTGTCGAATAACAGTTTGATTCTATACATATAATACGACTGGAATGCATGTGTGCATGGTTTATCAAGATTTATTCAACAATAGTATTATGCAGAATTGTAATGGAACATAGTGTACAGGGAGTTCTTTGGTCGATCATTATTATTAATATACGTAAATGAGTATTTTCCAAAGAAACACGAGTTTCATTGGAACTTTTGGAACGTAATACTGGATATTTTACAGAATACTGTACGACGTATAATTTTAATCGGAGAAGTAAAGCGATTCGTTTTACAGCGACAATTGTACGTAGCAGATCCTCTCTATTTTCTGACCCAAATTGGCAGGTCGAAGGTGTCTGAATTCATAGGTTTGTTTCTATTTCTATAAATCACGATCTTGTCATCGAAAACTTCTATCAACGTAGAATCATTCTTGTCTACGTTCTGTTGCAACGAAACGGAAGTATCATTAACGTAAATATTTATTGTCAGCGGACCTGGAATGCAACGTATCGGTTCCGGTTGCCAGTGACCAGTTACGTTACATCTGTATTGGACATTTTTAAGTAACGTAGTTTCTGGGCGATAACCACCGCGACAATTTAAATTTGCCGTCGTTCCAGGAGTAGCACTGTCACACGATCCCGGAAAGCCGTTGATATTGGTACAGTCAGCGATCACCGAAGGCGAATATAAACTTCTGCATCGTATTTCTGTAAAAAGAAAAGAGGAAACGTCATACGTATACCCGTGTAATGCACGAAGATCCATTGAAAGTGATCGCGCACCTATGCATTCGGGAATATCAGACCATTTCCCGTCCCGAGCGCAGAACACAGAACCGTGTCCGTTGAGCTTGAACCCAGTATTACAGCCGTAAACTAGATTTGCACCTGGTTCCAATTGTACACCTTGCGCGATGTCACAGTCGTCGTCCGTTTGCGGACACTGTGACCTCTCTAACTTCCAGTGACCGTTTTTCGGCTGCTTCGGTACGATGCAACCGATCAAAGGTTTCACACTGGGAGGTACGGACGGTCTAGTCGGCGGTGTCGATCTCGTCGGAGGAGACGGCGTGGGTCTTGGGTACGTCGGTCTCTCCGGGCGTTCCGTCTTGCATAATTTCGGATCCTCGTCCGAACCATTCACGCAATCATTGATTCCATTGCATTTGAAGTTACCGTTTATACACGCTCCGTAGTCGCAACGAAAAGCGTATCCTGTACAGCTGCAAAGAAAATGCTTTCGTTCCGTGAGAAGATTCGGTGATACGTTTTCGCGTTATTCATCTTGCCTCTCTATAAACTCACGGTATGTCTCCACACTGAAAATACGTCTCGTCCGAAGCATCTGCGCAATCAGCTTTACCGTCGCAGAGTCCGTCGCGATTAATACATTGCCCATTAGTACAGTTGAATTCGTCTGCCTTACAAGTCCGAATCGTACTGTCAGAGTTGCGCCTACATCTGGGTAAAGTTTCGTCGCTGTTATCGGCACAGTCTTTTATCCCGTTGCAAGGTGCATTCCCGGACACGCATGCACCGTATGAACATCGAAACAAGTAATCCCCGCAAGTAATCTCGGGCTTGTTGCATTCTTCGGCCGTCTCGTCGGACTGGTCCGCACAGTCTTCTTGGCCATCGCACAATAATTCGCTCGAGATACACTCGGAATTCTTGCACCGAAACTTTCCTATGCTGCAGAAAGCGTCAATGTGAATCTCACTAATAAATAAAATCATTTTCGTCGGTTATACGTACCCACACCTGTTGCTTTGCGCGTACCCATGTTCCGTCAAGCCTGATAATAAAATTAAATAGATCGTGTAACATCTGACAATGAATCGGGGGTGTTTCCAATTCATTTTATTCCAATCTCAAGTCTCGTACTGCACTTATCGTGTACAGAATGCGCGAACGATATAAACACGTATACGCATCGATTATTTATATGAAAAACTATTACAGTTGCACTTTGCAGCGTTTTATATTTCTTAGTATTTCTTGAATGTATCGTAAATAGATTTGTGACCTCTTGATTAGGGCACACGAAGACCTCCAAAGTTCAAGGTCACTACTAAACTGGTTTCTGAAACTGATGGCTACCAGCACTTAACTTCTCTTGTTTCGTTCATCGCACGTAAAAATGTAACAGGAACAAGGGAATAAATATAGAAGAACTCAGTTTACTTCAGCGTTTAATAACGATTATTTCGAACTAGTTAAAACTTGTTAAGAATCTATTAACGTCACTTATAAAAAAAATTGCCTTCTAATTTTCAAAGTTCCGTCGTTCGAATTTAATTAAATAAATTGTGAATAACAATGGTAAGGAGAAGTTTACTTACTGTACGTGAGTATTAAAATGACCGCTGGTACCGTGTTTTTCATAATAAAAGCCGAAGATCACGGGATAGATCTCTCCTCCGGCATTCGTCGCGTACTGATCCGGCTCCACTCTGGAATTACCCGAGTGAGGCAAATGATTCTTGAAACTAGTATTTGTATCTGTTTGCGTGCGTATGAGGAAAATCCGTGGCCACGCATACAGAACTTCGTCATTCACAGATTACGGGAATCACGTATACACAATACGAGACGCACTCTGTTCCATTCGGCAGACGGAGGAAAAAGAAAACGAAAGTTGAACCGATAATTTATTTACGCTTCGAACGCGGTCTTCCAAAAACAGATAAACTAATCGTCGTCGTGTCGGAGTTTGCTTCTGCAATGGTTTAAAACGAAAGGATCTCGAAATCAATGATATATTCGTTTAATTGACAGAGATACAATTGTTTTATGGAGCGTCCGTCGATGTTACTGGAACAACATCCTTAAATGCGAATCTCTTTGGCGTCAGGAAGGAAGCCAACCATTTCAGTGTCCTACGTCAGATCGATCAAGGATAATATTACAAAAAATAATAAAACGTTCAGCGACAGATAGAACGAAAAAGGATACACGTTCTTTGCGATTTCTGTATCTACGATGTCCTTTAAAATGTGGTCTTTATAAAACCTTTCCACGTCTTCATCGCATTCCTTCCAATCCAACGTTTCGTGGATTCCATCTTCTCCGTACCTCTCGTTATAATATCCGTAATGTACCTGGGAGAAATGACAGAATTCATTCGATACAATTTCCGTTGATATCTCGATTGCGAACAAGATCGAAATATCTTACAAAGTGTAGACTCAATCCTAAACCTGGTGCGATGGGAATGTCGACTCTCTCCAACGAGAACGCGTCTTTGACAATATCGCTTGTCACGATGTTCCTGCAAATCCCGACTACCAGAGAGACCATTTTTCTGATCTGATGCAACATGAAGCTTTGTCCTTTGATCTCCAATACTGCGAACTCCATGTCGTTCGCGACGAACGTCTCGACGCATCGGAAGTATACTATGTAACGCTTGGCTCTCGGATCCATCGGCTTTCTGTAAGGGTGCGCGAGTTGGTTGAACGAATTTCTTGTAACGCGTCATCGACGCGCGCTGACCAAACGACTCACGTTCTCGAAGTGAAGTTATGAAAGTTATGTGTGCCCTCTAATAATTTCAGAGTCTCGCTCAACTTCTCTAGCATCTCTGGAGTCAGGCGAAATTCGTTGTAAGGCTTTCCGTCTATTACGGAAAGCTGTTTCAGCCGTTTCTCCTCGTCTATTTCCTCTTCCTCTTTCTCGATACGTAAAAAGTTCGGATCCTCCGGAGCAAAGGCGAACGTGGGAAGGACGTACCTGTACGTCCTAGCGTCGCATCTATTTTTACTATTGAAACCTTTTGTCACTCGTTTTATACCGAATACTCTTATGTCTTCTGGAAGGTGTTTGTTGATATCCTCTTTATTTACATGATCGGCTGGAAACAGTTATCGTTGTTTTAACACGTTTCGACCAGAAGAAGGACATCGGGAAATGATACTCACGCAGCTTCAGAGAGACGATATTTCTAACTGCTGACACTCCTTTGTCTGTACGCGCTGCCCTTTGAAATTTAATCTCCCTTACGTCTTCGAACTGCTCCTTTGTAATGAAATCAGCTTTCAACAGAGCAGAGAGCAAACATTCCTCTATAGTTTTCGTGCCACGATTAATTTGCATTCCCAAGTAATCTCTACCGACGTAACTCAGCATTATCACAGAGTTCTTCCTCTTAAACTTCTTCTCGTTTCCTTCGATCTTTGCCGTTTTGGCCGGAACCCCATTGATCTCCTCATCACCTATTTGCCTTTTATTAGTTTGCTCGATGATATTTTCGTCCTGGCTCACGCTATCGACTTGGGTCGACATGCTTTTACAAAAAATGTTACCTAGAATTAAATTGACGAAGGATCACACATTTATCCCGATTAAAATTAATCTGTGAATCACTGGTCATTGTATGCTAGTGTAAGGTTTTTTTGATTCGATCAAACACGTACTGTGCTGTAGTCTCAGAAACTGAAAAACCCTCAAGTTAGCACGATATTTCATACCGTAAAATATTTAAAATTTGTCAAATCGATGCTAAAATACAAACAAGTAGCGTTTCGTCCACGTTTTTTACAACCTCACATGTGCATCGAGTTACACAATCGTTTGAGATCTCATAACGAAGCATAGCATTTACAGACGATATAAAGTTACTGGTATAATAAATCCTCAAGATTATGATCCTTCACGTGTTAATTATGCGTTTAGTAAACATTCTCTGTAGGATCCCCATTCACTTATGGCACGATCGTTCGCTGTACGTATACCTATATACGTACATATAGTATATGCAGATCTGGATGCACAACAATGCATAATGCACACCGATACATGAAAATGAGGTGAAGACGTGAAGATCGTGGATTTCGAACAGGTTTTTGTATATTCAAATAGATTAGATCAGAGAAGATTGAAATCGTTTGCACTAGAAAAATGCAGTGGCAAAACGTGTTAGAGTTTGTCAGCGTTAAAAGATCAACGTCGACCCCTAAGGAGGAAGCGAATCGTGAAGATGAGCTCATGTCACGTTTATGGGACGATAAAATTATAAAGTAGGTGAAAAGAATCGTTGTAAAATAAACGTTGCATAGTTACGCTCTATCATGTCTTTAGGCAATCCGTGAACTGGTGGTTGGACGACGTTCATCGTAAGAGAAAACAGAGTAAATCTGTTGTCAAAGCTGAGACGTTCAAGAATTTGGGAAATAAAATGTTTCAGGCGAAACGTTATATCAAAAGCATAGAATTCTATACGAAATCTGCGTCGTACGCCCCTTTGGACAGTTCTCAACTGTCAATAGCATTTGCAAATAGATCCGCCTCGTTATTTTATTTATACAGATACGACGTAAGCAAGGAGATCCTAATGCAATAACTCCTGTGTATCGTTCAGTTGAACACAGGAGTCGATCATGTACAATTATATGTTACATGAAACGATTGCCTAATGATTTCCTTGTTTTATGTCATCGTGGATCATTTGCCAATGGAAAGGAATGCATAAGAGACGCTAAGTTAGCAATCAAGTTCAATTACCCCAAACAGTTGCACTACAAATTATATTTACGTACGATACAATGTTACTTAAAACTGGGCAAGTCGTGCTCGGCGGAAGAGATGTTGTCTAAACTAGAAGAAATAATTAATGATCCTGATTACGTTAAACCATCTATGAAAAGTATGTGGCACGTTACTAAAGTAATTGTAAGGCTTTGTAATGATATGTTTTCAAATCTCAGGCAGTATAGAACAAAAGATGAGGGAGGTGAAATTGGTCGAGCCTACGTGTGCCGAGAATGTATTGGAAAACGATAGCAGCTTGTCGAAGGCAAGATCTGAATTCCTGTTCAAAGAAAATCCTGTTTTCCTTGGTGCTTCCGAATGCGTAGATGTGAAGTATGACGAAGAGGTAGGAAGGCATGTGGTGGCCAACAGATTCATTAAAAGAGGGGATATTCTCTTCGTGGAAAAACCAGTGAGCTTCGTGTTCCGCGACGACACTGTGGTAAACGATCTTTGCCAACACTGCAGCTGCGTTACTACAGACATTCCTGTTCCGTGAGTAATCGTATCTTGAAGACGTTTCCATGGGTTCATTGAAACGACACAATCGGGATCGACACCGTTTCAGATGCACGACGTGTTTAAATGCTTTTTACTGTAACGAGAAATGTCTGAGTGAAGCATGGTCTTCGTATCATCGCTGGGAATGCCCAGGATTTCAGATGGGACTGTGGAGAGACATCGGGATAGGCCATTTGGCTCTCAAGGTTTTACTGACTTGTACGACTACGACGGACAGAGTCAGGTTTAACGACGTGCAAAATTTATGTACCAATTTCAACGAGTCGTCAATGGGCGATTTAACATTATATGGGACTGTACGTACCGACGTCCAAATCAAACAGATTTTATTTAATCGTTCTGATTCACGGTTGATCTTTACAGACAGCTATCATGCTTACCATTTACTTATCGGAATATACGAATTACTTCGAAGTGAACGACATCGAAGATAGTTTAATGACAAAGTTTTCCGATCGATCTTTCAATTCGAATTTTGATACATCGACAGACGCCAATAGACGACTGTATATAAGTTGTCTGCTTTTACGACATATTCTTCAGCTCATCAGCAATGGGCATGCAATTCCAAGATCGGACGCACTGTTGAACACAAGTGATTTCTCAACGGACGACGATATCGTAGCTACGGGGATTTATCCTTCTGCCAGTATGATGAACCATTCGTGCGATCCGAACATAATTAACATGTAATTTTAACACCGCATTACAACGTGTCACTTTGATTCCCAATGTATCGTTGCCAATTTAACTTTCAGCTTCGTGGACCAACATTTAATCGTCAGAGCTTCGAGGGACATTGCCCACGGCAAAGAAATCTTTAACTGCTACGGTACAATACAGTTTTCTTTAAAAATTCATGTCACAACGTTTAAGTGCTCGAACAAGTCGCATTAAAAAATTCTCATTAGGTCCACATTACAGATACTTGGCGACAGAGGACAGGCAGAAGCATTTGAAGAGTCAATATTCCTTTACTTGTAAATGCCATGCCTGCGTGCAACCGAAATGGCGATGGTTCACAGTACGATTTCTTATTCATAATTACAGTCGTCAGGGACTTAGAACGATATAAGGGATATATTTCAATTGTAGGAAAGGTTCAGCGGTATGAGATGCTCAAAGTGCAATGGTGCACTGTGTGATATAAACGATTTCATATATTGTTTGGATTGTGGTAACAGATCATGCAGTAATCTGCTGAAAAAAGTGGTATTCACCGAATCTATGTTTCGCGAGGCCCAACTTCTGTTCGATTCAGGGAAACTGGAGGACGCATTGAGTAAACTGAACGAATGTTTAAAATTGCAAAGAGCCGTGTTATATAAATATAATGAAAACATCACAGCGTCATTGAATCTTATGGCAAAAATGTACAAGACATCAGGTTGGCATGATCGTTCGATGGCAGTTACATGTTTAGATCGATAATGCGCGATATTTTTAGAACGATGGGTGGACAGTATCGAGTGTTTGAAAGACTCTCTCCCAGCAGTTACGGAAAGATTCGGATTCTGTAGCTGGGAACTACTTAATCAATTGAACGATCTTACAGACGTGTCCTTTTCGTTTCTCGAAAAGGAAGCGCGTACTAATACGGACACCTACAAGTAAGTGTCTCTCTAACGATGTTTCCTAATTGAATCAATTCCGATCATGTCGTGTTTCAGGTACATTTTACAGATTGCTGAATTTCATTTACGTAAAATGGAACGCATTGCCTACCACATTTGTGGAACCTGGAGCAAAGTTTACAGAGACATAGAAGCGAAACAGCGACAAATTTCTCTATTGAAGGAAGCTTGAGGTTTTTATTTACAAATTAGTTACTGATGAGAACAATATCTGTAAATTTACTTACGTACTAGATGTGTAAATACATTTTATATTACAGTAGTTTTACATTACATGAGTTTATGATGAGAGGTATTTCCTTCCGTACAACTGTGCTTTTTTCTCAAAGCCGACGGACTTGATAGGCGTGTTTAACTTGTAAAATGGATTCATCGAATACTAAAAAATACAGAGAGAGAGAGAGAGAACTTGATAAACCTATCATTTTAACGTGATGCTGAGCAGCTGAATCATCTGTTCTCTCACCTTTATGTACATTTCATACATTTCATTGAAGAAATTCTTTATGCCATCTTCGTTTTTGCTATCGTGTACCATGACAAATCTGATATGGGTCGCTGTAACGAAAGCACTGACGTACCACTGGTTAAACTTGTCCACGACTTTCAAATGCATATTCGTTGTTTTCCATGTGTGTTCATCGACGAGATCTAATGCAGCATGTGCAATGAATTGGTTTAAATGTGTGTAATCTTCCTTCTGTTTGGAACAGAGTAAAATGAATTCAATGACCCTGTCGTCGATGTCATAATTACAAACCTTCGCATCTTTCCCGGAATTGTTGAATTCAATTTCGAATAAAGGATTGTCGGTGTGCCCGACGATCGCGAAATAATAGTTAGCCGTCATCGCGAACTTCAAAAACGATTATCCGGACAGATTCTCTCCATTCATTGTGTGTATCGTAGGTTATGACAGAGCCTACGACGATGCGAATTGAATACACGCACGCGAGCCAAGCGTGACGCGTGCCACGGTAGATGACGCCACGTCAGTGTATATGAGTACACGCACGTAAAACTTTTCCAGATGATGCGATAAATGTGAGCCCGAGATGCGGTGCAGATCCGATCCGATTAGGAATATTAGGATGCGAGCATAATGTTTACGTGCTGCTGCTGCTGCTACTGCCGCTGCTGTATTGGAAACTTACTGTTGCTGCACTTACTTGATGCTGCTACGGCGGCGGAAAGGAAAGAAGTAATTCACTTTAGGAAACGTGTTGTATGCTTTGGATATGTCGTATTTCGTACAAATAGATTCCTCTTATGACCTGAAAATAATCACGCTCCTACGCGCGCGAATGTTACGGTAATTGAAAACAATTAACCTGGTGAAAAGTTGTTTGTGCGTATGAATTGATTTGATTTTTGCGTTTCACACACAGAGTATAACGACGACGACGACGAAGAATGGGTTGTGTCAATAGTCGGACAGATATTAATGATCTGCATCCAAACATTTTCCAAGTAATGAATGTGGATGATCTAGGTAATTTGATCACGCCTGGACGTTTGGAAGTTACAGACACGGATATAGTGCTTTATCAACGTGGCAAACAGCCGATCAAATGGCCATTACGTTGTTTACGAAGATACGGTTATGACGCCGAAATATTTAGTTTTGAATCGGGAAGAAGATGTTCTACGGGGCCTGGCATCTATGCATTCAAATGCCGTCAAGCTGCACACTTATTTAATCTTGTACAAACAAACATTCAGGTTTGTCTTCTCTCTCTCTCTCTCTTACTCGTGAACTATTGTTGATTCATGATTTTCAAAAACACAGGTTTGCAATAACAGCGGAGACGATACGATATCCAGAGAACATCCAGTTGCGTCTCATCCTGCTGCCGCGAATCCAATAACGACAGCAACGACGCGAGTGACAATACCAGTTGAGCCTAATTATTTGGATCCAATATTGAATAGGACGACCAATAATCGTGCGGTGGCAGGTCCTAGATCTATCATTGTCATGGATGATCATCCACGTAATCACCAAAACCAAGTTGAGGTTGAAAGATTAGATAGTTCGGAAAGTAGTACTGCTCTTATATCGCCCCAAAGAAATGTAAATCAATCTCCCATCACCACGTCGCCTCCTGTGTTGCCGCCTCTGCCGACATCATTTCCTCGATCGCATCCGCCACCGCCGCCGCCGTCGTCGTCCTCACTTTATGTCAACGAAGAAATATTGTCATCTTTCCTATCGCCATCGCCACTGGAAATGGTGTTGGTGGAGCACAATAATAACCAAAAAAGCCTTGGAAGAGCGATGAAACAGAGGTAATACGAAATTCGAATAATGCAACGATTACGATTTTTGTATACGTAGTACGTTGAATGTTTTACATGTTTCAGGTCTTGTATAGTCACTGATTCTATATCCGATAACGGCGGCGGCGGCGGCGGTTCCAGGTTCACGCTCGAGGTGACGTCGCTGAACAAGCGTTTAGACATCACTGCTCCTGCTGCTGGTGAATCACCGCTCCCGGCAACGGGAACGGGAACTTACATGAATATAGATATCAATAGCGATGTTAATTTACTACTACTACCACCACCATTAGTTTCTCCGAGTCATAGCGTGTCCGATACAACGACACAGGCAATTAAAGTTAAGGAGGAGAACACGAGTGATCGAAACACCGAAAGTAGTGGACATGCTTACATGAATATAAATCCTGGCCAAGAACATACGGAATCTGTTGTTGGCGGCGGCGGTGTTGGTAGACCACGTCCTTCGACGTTGATATCTATTCAGTCGCAGCAGAATGCGGCGGCGGTAGAAGAAGCAACGAGACATTGTTACGCGAATCTAGAATCGAGCGAGATTGAAACGTTGAGAAAAAGATTCTCCGGCGTGTCCGTATCGGAGAAATCACCGCCACCGATGCCTCCGTCAACGCCTACGACGATCAGCAGCAGTAGTAGTTGCTGCGGTGCTGCTGGTACAACGGTGATCAGGGAAGTGAACTACGCCGTATTGGATTTGGATACGAAGGACATGACCACTGCCGCTGCCGGTTCACCGTTGGATGGTCCCTCTTCGAATCCCACCGCGTCTCCGCCGGAGTCGCCGAATAACAACGATCACAAGTTGCAGCAGCAGCAGCAGCAGAAGGGATACGCTACGATAGATTTTAACAAAACGGCTGCTCTTTCCCATTCGGTCAATCCGAACTTGAACCTGGTGAACGACAACGAAGGCTCGAGAAAGACTCGTCATAATTCCACAATTAGCGCCTTAACTGCTCCCTCTTCTTCTGCTTCCCACGTTAGACGTAGTTCATCCGTGAGCGAGTGACCGATCGTTCGTTTTCATCTTTTGACTCTGTCTGTATGTGTGTGTGCGTGTTTTTGCGTACCCGCGCGTGTCCTGTATAACGGACATTTCATTAACATTTAGACAGTATGAGATACTTTATGATACGTTTTACTCTCTTCGTTCTTTCCAATCAAATTCAGACAACTTTAAATGAGATGTATAATACCAAAGAAGAAAAGGAGAAGAACTGAAATAGATTAAATTAGTTTTTATACACATTTTTTTATCGCGCATTCATGATTCATCCGAGATGGTATCGCGCGCGTGAGAAGAAGAAAATGTACTTTGCCAAGCATCTGGTTCGAAAAACTGCATTTCATGATTTGTTTTCTTCTGTACGGTTTTTATATTACGTCGTCTACTGCAATACAACGTATGGTACATATTTAGTTTTATACGATTTACAGGAAGGAGGTATCGCAGTATTTAAAAAAAAAAACAAGCTTTTTTCAACGTGATGTTTTCTGACATGCACAAAGAAAAAAACCTTTTATATTATAATATACAAACAAATATGTTTATAGAATGATGTACATAAAGACCGATTTTTTACATTGAATATTGTACAACGTTGGGACGTTGGATGAAGCCTGAAGTATCCTTAAATTTATTGTACCATTATGTATAGGAATTGATGAGGCTCAATACTAACAGACAGTAACTGCTAATTAAGGGTAGCTGCTTGTAATTACGTGTTGTTCGCGTATTATATACTGTATATGATCATAACGAATGGAGAAGGATAATGATGTGCATAATTATGCAATTTCGAAATGACTACTTTTAAAGTGGTCGATGGTCTTCGCAACTAATATACACATGGAACGCGGAATTGAAATCATTTATTTTTTACAAAATACGATATAAACGCGAGATATTAAACGAGAAAAAGAAACGAAACGTTGTCGATACCGATGTTCTTGTTCTTATACTTACATGTTATATACAGTATACTGTGGAACGAATTAATAAGCCTGCCCCTTCGTTGTACACGCTAATAACTATTTATATTAACAAATTAATTATTCGTTACGTTTAGACAAAATGTTGCATGCGTATGTATCTAGATTAGATAACCTGATCGCATTTGCACGTATGTATACGTACCAGGTGTACGAACTATAAGTAAATTGCGTTACGTTAATTCTATCTTCGAAAGTTTCATATATGATTGAACGTTTTATAATTACTCATAGTAGCGAATTGTTTAAATACGAATAAAACACAGTTTACTGCAATGGACACGTTTTAATGTACACGTATGCATAATATGCATATTGCTATGTATCCGCATATCCAAGTCCCGGTAGAGGGCTTGTATTGGATTGGCGCTGCGTGCACCGAATGTGCAAAATCGTTTGAGGTTAGTGCACATATGTGTAACTTTTAATTAAATTTATATATACAACCCTAAAATCATTTGAGGTATGTGTACATACACACATATTTATCGCGCGAATTAAGCGTGCAAAGTAATGAGACGACATAAGGGGTTGACACTTGAAAATAATAGCTACTCATGAGTTAAATTGTTAAAAATAGATCTATTTACCTGATGAGAAAGCTGATTAGCAACCTGCCGCAATGACAGAAACTAATCGTACGTATATTATGTAAATAATAACTGATTACTGCAATCTGACCAGCAGCGATAGAAACTAGCTGTTGTATAGATTGTATAACTTTGTAAACCGTAAATGTGTTGCAGGAAGTATATGTTTGACATTGCCCAAAAGCATTACGAAACAAGTTAGTACTTGTGCAAATAGTGAACATTACGTCACAAATTTTCTACAGAATGCACTACCTTCTAATGATACCGATTCCATAGCGGATGAATTAAGAAAGGTAACATACGACGTCATTCTTCTCTTCCTCCTCATGGTTGTTACATATGTGTGAAATATGAAAGAAATAGTTCTTACTTGTTGCTTTCACTGGTGATGATTATTCATAACAGACAAAGTAAACTGGTACTACTACCACAACCATCCCACTCACTCAATTATTCTTTTCCATGACAGTCGTTGATATTTGCTAAACATAAAAGCAAATGGAACAAGAAAAGAAGATGCAGAGGCAAGTTGTTGACTAGTAGAAAGCGAATGCAACTTGGGTTACGTAAAATTGCTGTTGCTGCTGCTGCTGCTGGCAATAGTGGTATGAAATATGTGGATTTGCTACCATTGAATCAGCTATGGTTGAACTATATGCGACAGGTACTTGGTACCAAGGATTTTAATCAGAACGTTCCGAGAGATTCGACCGATCCACATTGGGAAAATTTTAATCAGCAACTGATGAAAGCAGACTTTCATGGTGCCAAAATACTGGTCGTTGGATCGAAGTGTCCAAGTTTAATTGGATTGAGCGGTATCGTCGTCCAAGATACAAAAAGCACGTTCAAAATTTGTAGAAAAGACAATACTATAAAAAGTACGTCGCGGTGCCATCTATTAATCGTTCTGCTTTTTATTATTATCAATATTATTATTAATAATCTATATCGTCTACATTTTGTATAGAACAAAGTAATTTTTGTTTTGCAGCAATACCGAAGGATGTTGTTATCTTGAATATTTACCTGGACGAGTTGAAACTTCAATTCTTCGGAAAGGATATTTCTATAAGGCCTACCGAACGCACTGTTAAAAAGTTTAAATGTAGACGAATATGTGAACTGTAATTTATGACGATAAAAAGTCTGTTTGTATCTTGTCATAAACAATTTTTGTGACGTTAACCCCCCCCCCCCCTGGCACGTACACGTAGAGGAGTAAATTAATTTTTCTCTTTTTCTGAAGACACACATTCTGCAGAACACTCTTGCGAGTATCTGAGTCTGATATCAGAAATGCGAACGTGAACGATATTTGTGTCGTACAACACTATGATAGAGCTGTTTATTGAAATAAATTTAATAGCAACAAATAGTTTTCACACCTTATACTGACTTTCAACATCATTACACACACACACGCACACGCAGACACAGATGTACCTTCGATCATATATGCATCGTGCTGTATACAGCAGTGGTGCATAACGTAACAACCAATCTCTGTACGTTCAACGTTTCTAAATGTCCTAATATTTTATTTGAATTCACAATATCCAAACAATGATGCAATTACATTACTCTATCTACTTGCACAGAACTGTCGGCGTTAGATACACACTTTTCGATCTACAGTTTTAATTTATTATTCGTACATAATTCGCAATGAAAGTGAAATAGTGATTATTGGGAATGTTACAGATTCGTTTGTCGATCGTCATCTAGTATTTAACGCTCTTCATTCTTATTACTTCATAATAATAATAATAAGTGCCGCTGAAACGACTGCAGCAGTTATTAATAGATATTAAACGAAAGTCCTTTGTATAATTAATGATATCGCGTATATATATATATCGCGTGTATATATAGTTATTGCGACAAACACATTGTTCAAGCATGATCTGAATAATATTCCATCGCCGCAACAATACTATACAGTATTATGTCCATATAATTTCCAAAGTTTCCCTATTAAACTTCCGTGGTTTCGTACTTACATGTGTGGGTAGATAATGATGAGAATAATTTTCAAATCTCTCTCTCTCTCTCTCTCTTTCTCTCTCCCCGTGAATTGAAACACGCGGAAGAAAATCTGTGTGACTCAAGACGTCTATCGTTTGCGACAATCGAGCGAGAACACATAAGAATGCTAAGACATGTCGGAGAAAGCATAATGTTATTTCTCTGTATGACATATCTTATACGTCGACCGAGATCGTTTGTATGTAGGAATTACGTAAATCATTTATGTATTGGCTATATAGTCAAATATCGACAATTTTTAATTAAAAATAGTGCACTTTTCTTCAAATTTCGATATTTAATGAATTACATATGATTATTTGGCATTTTATTGATGTTGACAAAATCCGACCATCCCAGCGTCGAAACGGCGTACTTTTGACAAAAAATTTCATTTTTCCTTAATTACTCCTAAATCTTTGGAGATACGGGAAAATTGCATAGGACCTTTCTTGTAGAGGACGACGAGATCTACAATTTCTGTATAAAAGTTTGTTGCTAGCATTAATAGTTTACGAGTTATAGA